CAGTATATATGTATATATACATATATATATATATATATATATATCGTATACACTTGCTTCCTGGGGGCGCCAGAACGGCCAAGAGGAGGAGGATGAGGAGGATGGGGGATGAGGAGGAGGAGAGAGAGGAGGAGGAGGAGGAGGAGGAGGGGGAGGACCACTTCGGCGAACTGGAATCCAGTTCGCCGTTCTGTGGCCGTTCTGTGGCCGAACTGGAATCCTGTTCGCCGTCTGGGGGGCACCAACACGGCGAACTGGATTCCAGTTCGCCGTTTTGCGGGCGTCTTGGGTGCGCCAAAACGGCCAAGAGGAGGAGGAGGAGGAGGAGGAGGAGGAGGAGGAGGAGGAGGAGGAGGAAGAGGAGGAGGAGGAGGAGGAGGAGGAGGAGGAGGAGGAGGAGGAGGAGTAGGAGGAGGAGTAGGGGAGGAGGAGGAGGAGGAGGAGGAGGAGGAGGAGGAGGGAGGAGGAGGAGCAGGGGGAGGAGGACCCAGGGAGGAGGAGGAAGAGGAGGAGGAGGATGAGGAGGATCCAGGGAGGAGGAAGAGGAGGACCCAGGGAGGAGGAGGAAGAGGGGGAGGAGGAGGAGGAGGAGGGGGAGGAGGAGGAGGAGGATGTTATTTCTAACCCCCTTTGAAATAACATGTGTGATCGGGGGAGGTGGGGGGATGAGGAAGGGGAGGAGGAGGAGGAGGAGGGGGATGAGGAGGAGGAAGACACGCTTCGCGCGTGGATGTCTCCCCAACATATTGTTAGCGGCTGATGTATATACAGTTTTCATCTAGATCAGTGCTTGAATGTGTGCTTGCTGTGCCGCTAAGGTTAGCCTCTTTGTACGCGTGGGAACCTCTTGGGTCTCGGGGGGCCTCTTGGAAGCCTCTTGGGGGGCCGCTGGAGGCCCTTGGAGGCCTGCCGCGGGCGTCTTGTATACGTGCATGAAGGTTTCTGGGGAAGCCTCTCAGAAGCCCGTCGGGGCCCTCTTGGGGGTCTCCTAGGGGCTTCCTGGGAACCTCGGGGGGCCTCATATTTTTTCAGGTGCGAGCATGGCTGGCAGCCGATAGCTCGCCACAAAGCGGCCACGGGCTCCGCAATCCACGGAGCTTCACGCCGAAACAGCACACGCCTAATCGCTGAAGCCGTACAGCTCGTGCGTAGCGTCGGTGCACGCCTGCTTGAGGTCGTCCTCATTCTGGATCTTCCCAGCCTTCACCTGGTTGCCGATGTCGATCGCCATCTTCGTTGCATCCGCCATGTAGCGCTCTTCGCGGATGGGAATGTTTGCCCTCTGCGCTCCATCCACGTAGAAGGAAAGGAGCACGCCCGTCTTGTTCACGCCAGTGACCCTGTCCTTGCGACGCTTCACGGCAAGGTGCAGGCCGCCCCAGTCACATTCGAAGATCGGGGCCAGCTTCATCTTCTTGGCGGTCTTCGAGGCATCGTTAAAGAGCTGCATGTCCTCGACGCTCATGCTGCTGACTGTCAGCACGGGCCAAGTCCCCAGCACTTCGTCTCGAGACGCATACATGTCATTGGTGTAGATCTTGCTCTTCTTGCCGATCTTCTTCATCCAAGCGCCCTTGGTCACGTGGAAGCCCGTCTCGTAATCAGCCGCCGAGTCTGGATCCAGACTCGGCGGCTGCTCGATCTCGATCTCGTCGACTGTCTTCCCTTCTGAGGCTGGGTCCTGGCGCGGCCCCTGGCGCATCATATCGCTGATCATCGTGATGGGCATGTCCATCTTGAACAACGATGGGGCATCCGAGGCTGACGGTGCAAAGGCTGATGACGGTGCCGAGGCTGGCGGCGCCGAGGCTGGCGGTGCCGAGGCGAGCGGTGCCGAAGCTGGCCTTCGCATGGGAGCTGCGGCTGGCTTTTTGGCTGGGCGGTCGTCGTCGATAGCATCCTCCTCGAGATCTTCTTCCTCCTCGTCCTCTTCTTGATGTTCCTCCTCTTCCTCCTCGTCCTCGTCCACCGTGCAGCTTGCAGGCCTTTTTTTCGGAGTCCCAGCAGCTGCAGGACGCCTCATCGGCGTGCTCGTGCAATTGGCGCACTCCTCGATGGCCGTCACCCAGTCTGGTTTCGACGTGTAGCCCTTCGCACGCCAGTAGTGGCAGAGCATCGTCTGGAGTCGCTTTGGGACGATGGTCGTGGCCTCTTCGAACGCCTCCTCCGACAGCTGGTTTTTCCAACCCTTTATAGTGAACACCCTGAGCACTGCCTGATGCACGACCCTCGGCGACGACGAGATATCCGACCTTTCCTTGAAACATACCATTGCTCCAATCAGCTCCTTATGTTTGTCTAGACTCTCTGGCTCCACTGGGCTCTCGCGCATCTTGGTTCCGTAATTGACGAACCCTGGACCCTTTGCGAACGGCAGGATCACTGCCGCCAACTCATCGGCGCCTGCGCCCATTCTCGCAAAATATGGAAAGATGGAGAGAAGGAGCAATATGCCAGCGCGTGGCGCCATCAGCGCCACAAGGAAACCTTGAACCACAATATGGCTACGGCTATGCAAACGCCCAACGTTTCAAGATCTCAACCCTCCAGAGGCTGGCCAATGATCGGTTAACAGCTGGCGTGTTGTATCTCGGTTTCTTCAGAAGAATGCGAGGGTTGTTTGTTTTTCTGTTGGAGGGTGCTTGTTATTTGCTGATCCGTTTTTCGTGTGTTTCTTTCTTCGGGGTGGGGGGGAGGGTGAGTTAAGCAGTTTTTCAAAATATGTTTTCCAAGGGCCTCTGGGCGCTTAATCACACTGGGCCTCTCGGGGCATCTTGGGGCGGCCTCATTGGGGCCGCAGTCGTTGAATAGGCGTGTATATCTATACACATATGTACATGTGTATGTATGCATGCATGTCCGTATGCATAACATATATTTATATATACATGTACATATATATGTATGTATGTATACATAAATAGATACATACATAACAAAAATATTCATACACGCGTATTAGATATACGTGTATATATACATATATGTATATATGTATGTATGTATATATATATATATATATAACCGCGGGGACTAAATCATGAATCGGGGACTTCGGGGACTAAAAGATGAATCGGGGACTGCGGGGACTAAATGGGTTGCGGGGACCAAAACGTGAAGATCGGGGACCTTTTTGGTTTCGCGGGGGCGGGGACCTTTTTTTGGTCCCCGAGGACCTCTGGGTCCTCTGGGCACCTCCCCTGGGGCCGGGTTTGCGAGGATGTCTCAAGCGAGGGCGCCGGTTTGGGATTCGTCACCGGATCCAGCGGATCCGTCCGGAAACGGTGCCGGAGGCCGCTCTGGGCTCCTCTGGGCACCTCCCCGGGGCCGGTTTTGCGAGGATGTCTCAAGCGAGGGCGCCGGTTTGGGATTCGTCACCGGATCCAGCGGATCCGTCCGGAAACGGTACCGGAGGCCGCTCTGGACTCGTGCTCTTCGCGCCGGGGGTGAGGATGACGTGAGTTCCACAGAAACTCCCTCAAACGAATTGTACGTATGCGTGTGTGTGTAGAGAGAGAGAGAGAGAGAGAGCGAGAGAGACAGAGAGGCAGAGAGCGAGAGATACAGAGAGAGAGAGAAAACGATAGACGGAACTAGTACAGGGAGGGAGGGAGGGCGCGAGGGAGGGTCTGACATGGGAGGGAGAGACATTGACATACATGCATGCTTATGCATATAGCTATATACACATAATGAGGAACATAAGACAGAGATATAGTTAGAGGACGAGAGGGAGAGGGAGAGGAAAAAGGGGAGGGAGAGGTGAGAGGAAGAGAGGGAAAGGGAGAGGAAAAGGGGAGGGAGGGAGGGAGGGAGCGGGAACGGCAGCGAAGCAGGGAGGGAGGGAGAGAAGGGGGGGGGGGGACATGGCGAAGGCCTCCTCGGCCACAGGAACCGATTCCACATCTCTCGTCATGGTGCTTCCCTTTCGCGGCGAGCGAGGAGGGCGAGTGAGAAGGGCAACCTTCTCCCTCATTCTTCCGGACCTTTCGCGATAACCTTCCGCCCTTTGTGCAACATGATGTATGTGGGTGTTCAAGAATTGCGTAAGGTTTCTTTGAGGATGGATGAATTCCTCCGCACCCCCAGCGGAGGTCGGAAGGTATGGAAGGCGGAGTTGGGAGGAAGGCTTTGTGCGAAGGCAGCAAAGCTCCTCAGAAGGCGGCGGGGTTCCTCAGAAAGCGAACTCCTCCGAGAGCGGCACGGCCTCCGAGAAGCCACCCGCGCCCTCGGAGAAGTTTTTGTTGCGTGTCTTCGGGGGAGGCTCGGGACGCTCTCCTGGAAGGCCCGGGGTGCTCCCGAGCCTCGTGGGCAGGCCCGTTCCCCGGGCTCGCCGCCGATCCCCTCCCTTCCTCCCTTGACCTTCCAGGAGGGCTAAAAAATAGCACGCAACCTAAAAACCTATCCCAGAGCTATTCTATGTCTTTGTTTTAGGCTGTTTCGTTTCGTTTTTTAAGTTTTTAGGCTTCGCGTGCTAAAAAATAGCTCTCTGGGAGGTCAGGGTCAGCGCGCCCCCCCCCCCCATCCGCAGGTCGGGGCCAGCCAGAGGCCCCGCCAGCGCCTCCGGGCGCAGCCGCAGCAGCGTGATGAGGGGCGGGGCCCGGGCGGGCGGCGGGGCAGAGGAGGCGGGAGCCTCGAGACGGGGGTCAATGCAGGCGGGGGTCAGCCAGGGCACAGGATCCTGCAGGATCCTGCGAAGACCCCCTCTGGCTGACCCGGATTAGCGAGCCGCTCGTGGCCGCGAGGCGGCCGCGCCTATTGGCTGACCCGGGTTTGCGAAGACTTGCGTTGCAGTTTTTTTTCTTGCAGTGCAGCTTTTGATTTCCTGCTGACCTGGGTCTGGATTGACCCGGATCAGAAGATCCCCGAACGAGGCAGGCAGGCAGAGTCCAGGCACGGCCCCGAGCTCCCGCACACGGTCGGACCGAGGCGTGAGGTCGAGGTCGGCTCAGGGGGGGGGGCCTTCTCATGGCTTCTTGGATTCTAGGCTCACGTCGGGCATGTCCCTCTACCGGCGGAATGCTCAAATATAGTTCTAAGCATTAGCTTGGGGGCGTTTTTGTCGTTTGTGTATTAAGTTGGATTAGTTTTAGTATGTTTAGGCTATGTTTAATGTTTCTTCTTAAAACCACCTATAGGAGGACATGCCCAACCTAATTCTAGGCCCCCTTACATAAGTTCCGTGTAGATGGGGTCGGAGGATCGCGCCGCATCGCCGATGCATCGCCGATGTTGCTCGATGTGGAGCCCCATTTTCTTCACGCCGACGTCGGCGATACATCGCCGACGTCGGCGATGCATCATCGATGCATCGGCGATGTATCGCCAGTGGTTCGCCGATGCGGCGCGATCCTCCGATCCCATCTACCCCGACCCCATCAAGGATGCCTCTATCTTGTGCACCCTGGGGAGGATACGCTTGGATGCTCTGTGTGTGTTGGCCGGCGGACGGCATCATGTTCTTGAAGGGTGTTGTTTTGTCTTATTTCCGACTCTATTGCATGTGTGTTCCCCCGTCTTTGCCCGTTCCTTTGGAGCGCTCAAGCGATCGATTTCCCAATGTCTGGGGCGAAGACATGGCCCAAAGCCATCCGTCGTGATTTTTGTTTGCGACCCCAGGAGGTCGGATTTCAAGCTACTTATTCCGGGCCTCGGGCGCTTGGTTGGCCCGATCTCGCATGCCCGGCCGCAGGTTTTGGACACCATCACGATGCGAGACACCTCCAGAGACGTAGACAACACCAGCAAACGTCGCCGTACGTTTCGCAGATGTCAGGCCCCTCCTCATCCCGTCCTTCCTCCCCTCTCCTTCCGCTCCCCGCCCACCCCTCCTCCTCGTCCGTCCTTCCCCCCTCTTTCCCCCCCCCCTCTCCCTCCTCCCCGTTCTTTCCCCCCCCTCTCCCCCCCTTCCCTCCCCCTCCCTGGCTTCCCCCTCCCGCCTCCTCCTCGTCCGTCTCCCCCCCCCTCTTTCTCTCTCCCACTGCCTCCTCCCTGGTCCTCTCCTCCCCCCCCTCCCCCCCGCCGACATCTGACTTCGTGATTTTTTTGTTTGTTGCGCCGTGGCTCCCCAGAGCTCGGGACCCGCAGACCAGGGCCCAGTGGGGGCCCCCTGACGCCCGAAGGTTTGCCCAGCACCGTCCGTCGCGTGTGTTGTTGTTTCCGTGACGCGAGGGCACCGGCCAGCGGGCCATCGTTCTGGCCTCTGGCGGCAGTGGGCGGGCGCGGCCGGCATCCCCCGCGCATCCTCGGCGAGGCGCGGCTGCGGGAGAGCATCCCGAGACGAGAGCACCTGCAGGAGACAAAGAGGCCTCCCGAAGACTTCCCCGTGAAAGCTTCGGATGTCAGCCAGGAGGGAGAACACACACACACAGGCACAAGGAATCGTCGATTCCCAGGAGAGTGTTGGAAAACATGGGAAGTGAGGAGAAGACGAAAAATACTAACTTATGAGACAAAGTGTTGAATCCTGGGATCGGTTCGCATTTGTGTGTGTTGTGTGTATGTGTGTGTGTGTGTGTGCGTGTGCGTGTGATGTGTGCGTGCGGGGCGCGTGCGCGTGCGCGTGCGCGTGCGCGTGCGCGTGCGCGTGCGCGTGCGCGTGCGCGTGCGCGTGCGCGTGCGCGTGCGCGTGCGTGCGTGCGTGCGTGCGTGCGCGTGCGTGCGTGCGTGCGTGCGTGCGTGCGTGCGTGCGTGCGTGCGTGCGTGCGTGCGTGCGTGCGTGCGTGCGTGCGTGTGTGTGTGTGTGTGTGTGTGTGTGTGTGTGTGTGTGTGTGTGTGTCTGTCTGGGCCCCTTCAGTCAGGGCTCGCCTCCCCTGCCCTCCCTCCTCTCTCCATCTCCCTCCTCACCCCCTCCTCCTCCTCGCCACTCCTGGCCTCTCCTTGGCACCTGAGGTCTGGCTGGGGGCTGGAGGATTTGGCCGTACACCGTGGCACGCCCACGCTCGGCCCCCAGCGGTGTACAGCCCAGTCCTCCTCTGCCCCCCCCCCTCCTCTCGCCCTCCCCCTTCCGCCCCCTCGCCTTCTCCTCGCCCTCCCCTCGCCCTCACCTCGCCCTCCCCTCGCCCCTTCCTCCTCTCGCCCTCCCCTTTTCCTCCTCGCCCCTCCAGGCCTCCCCTGGGCCCCTGGGCCCAGCTCGGGGCTGGAGGCTTCGGCCGTACACCGTGGCACGCCCACGCGGCTACCGGGGCCGGGCGTCAGCGCTTTGGGGCAGCACGAACGCAAAATACCTGAGCTGAACGGAAGGCCACCGACCGCTCAGAATCCGCCTCTCCATTGGGAACACGTGGAGGAGGTCGAGGAGAGGAGGAGGAGGAGGTGGAGGAGATGGAGGAGGAGGAGGAGGAGGAGGAGGAGGAGGAGGAGGAGGACAGGCTAGAAGAAAAGCAGGAGTGGAGGGGGATGAGGAGGAGCAGGGAGAGGCAGGCCTGTCATAGGAGGGGGCCCCCACACATCCGATGCCTTGCGTCTCTCAAGGCGGGGCCTACGGAGGTCTGGCCCTGGCCGACTGTTTTTGGACGGCGCCTGGGCCTTGCGAGGGCCCCTAGAGAGCTGAAGAGTACGAAGAGCGTCCGCGCTGAGTTTTTCGAGACGCTGGAGATCTGGGCTACACGCCGGTCGTTGAAAGTAGGTACTACTGGCCTCCAAGATCTCAATCTACCCCAAGCGCCACCCTACTTGAATAATTGATCTGCTCTTACTGTGTTTTGCTATTCTCTGGAAGGGCTCGGGTCCAGTCCACTTCATCCGCATTCCTAATGCAGGGAAGCGATTAAAAAAATCCCCCCCCCCCGGACCCTCCAAAATGATTGAGTGGGGCGGACTAACAGACTTTTTTTATCGTCCGCCCCCCGGCGTTTGCTTCTGCCCCTTTTGGGGAACTGATTTTCTATTCGTCCTCCTTCGCTCGCTTGATCACCCGCGGCCGCGGAGGGAGGATTGCGGAGGGGGGACGGGATAATTAGGGAGTAGTTGAGGGAAGGGGTTTTCGAACAGGCGCTTGATCACCCTCGTCCTTGCGGACGCGGCGATTGGGAGGTGGGAGAGGAGGAGGAGGAGGAGGAGGAGGAGGAGGAGGAGGAGGAGGAGGAGGAAGAGGAGGGGGGAGGACAAGCTAGGTGCGCTCGCGTCATATATGACAGCCGACCCCTCCCTCCCATCCCTAACCATGGCGTAGACCCCCTCTCTACTCGCACAGTCGGATGTCGAGCAGGGCAATGATCCCGAAAGGGTACGCGATGCATCGTAGAGCACGGCATGGCATGGCGTTGAAGAGCACCGCGAAGCGTAGTATGTCACATCATGGCGGGGCGTGGCGTAGCGAAAAATTGCATCACAAACCTTTGCAACGCAAAGCATGGCATCGCACAGCGGCCCCGAACATAACATTGCATAGCATGGCGTTGAAGATCAAAAAGTAGCATGGCAGAGCACGGCGTGGCACGTAAGCCGTCCTCCTCCTCCTCCTCCTCCTCCTCCCCCTCCTCCTCCTCCTCCTCCTCCTCCTCCTCTCCTCCTCTTCCTCCTCTTAAGTATTCCTCCTCCTCCTCCTCCTCCTCCTCCTCCTCCTCCTCCTCAATTGCGACGGCGTCCGAGCGGAGAAGAGGACGAACAGGAGGAAAACGAGGAGGAGGAAGCGGAGACAAGGAAGGAAGAGGAGGACGACGACGAGGAAAAGGACGAGCACGAGGAGAAGGAAAACGAGGAGGAAAAGGAGGAGGAGGAGGAAAAGGAGGAGGATGAGGAGGAGGAGGAGGAGGAGGAGGAGGAGGGCGCGTTGTGGTCCGAGGCACCCTTTCTTCGGGAGAGCCCGTGCGCCACGACCCCAGCCGTGAGCCCGTGTGCAGCGGGCGGCGGCGTTTCTTTCTCCTTCCCTGGCCAGCAGTGACACTGGCTTGATACGCGCAGCCCCCCACGGAGGGGCGACACAGCGAGCGCTCGCGCCCGCCCGCCTGGCACCGCAGGGAGCGGCGCCGCCGCCAGGAGGCCCGCAGTTTCCTCAGGTACTGCGCGGCGAGGCAGCTGCTGCAGCGCCACCACGGCAGCCAGCCCCCAGCGGACCAGAGCCCTTCATATGGGATGGATGGGGCCCTTCTGGTCAAATGCGACCAGTGCGGGTGCGCAAAGAACCATTCGTGGTGAAAGTGGTGCAAGCTCTGCAAGGGGCCGCTGGTGCCAGTGGGGAAGCCACCTGTTCGCACTCCTCGTCCTGCTCGGGGGGACCGCTCGCCTGCTGAGCGGCCCAAGCCCCCTTGGAGGCAGCCAGGGGCTGGTGGCCAACAGGCTGCTGCAGCGGGGTCGGCAGTTGAGAGGGCGGCCAGTGGCAGCAGAGGGAGACGCGGCACATTGCGGGTCAGCTTCGGCCTGGCTCCAGAGCATGCCAAGCAGGACGCCGAGGTGGAGCGTTTGGCCAGGCTGGTCGAACTGCTCACCCTCTCTGGGGACTCCACGGCGGCCGCAGCTATAGGGCCAATTTGGAGGACCATCGCCGCGCCAAGCAGGACAGTGACGTCTCTGTGGAGCTGGCCAAGGCGCAGTGTGAACAAGTGGAGGGGCGACTCCGCCAGTCCATCGTCAAGTGCGAGCGGGTGGAACAGTCCTGGTCGACGCGCAGGCCGAGGTCGAGCAGGATCCCAAGTCCCTGGATGAGGCCAGAGCCAACTACCAGTCAGCAGTCCGCCGCTTGCACACCATCGCCATCGACCCTGAGGCTGAGGTACGAGGACCTCCCAAGCTGGACCTGTCCAAGATCCTGGACGGGGCCCAATTCGCGCTGGACGACGGGGGGCTCTTCGGCCTGGAGCAGCTGGGCGACGTGGTGGGAGACGAGGACCGTTGGGAGGCGGCGCGACGTCGTGAGATGCTACAGGAACAGTTCAAGCAGGCGGCGGACTCGCTGTTCGGCGACCTCCGCGCCAAGGCCTCGGCGATCAAGCAGGAGGCCCAGGCAGAGAGGTTCGCGGCGAAGAGGGCCCGCACGGCGGCCCCAGAGGCCGCGGCAGCCGAGGCCTCTGGCTCTGCAGCGGAGGCCAGCGAGGTCAAACCTTCGCGGGGGGCCGAGGCCGCGGCCCCCGCCTCAGAGGCCAGACCGCCGGCAGAGAGCGAAGCCGCGGAGGCCAAGCCCAAGGCCCAGGCTGCGGCCGCCAGCGCCGCCATCCAGGCTGCTAGGGCCACGCTTGACGCCAGGAAGAGTGGTGCAGGCGGCGGTGAGGCGACACCGCCGCGGGGGTAGCAGCACGAAGCACGAACTTGACTTACGTGACCAACTTTTAGTTTTGCGGGCTACTCCGTCAAGTGCTTGGTGGATGAGGTCACCCGATTTTGAACGTGGCTGGATAGCTGGTGGATGGGATGGCGTCTACTACGACCATGGGCCACGTGGCAGCCAGCCATGCAGAGCTGCAGGATATGCCCCTGCACGGGGTGCTGGCCAAGTCAGGTTCGACTACAACCATGGTCAGGGCAGGGGCTACGGGGCTGCAGACATCTACAACGGGGAGCACGAGCTGCTCAGGAGATGGATCGCCAACCCTGAACCTGAAGGCGAGCCGCCGCCGACTGGGCCACCAGGGCGACGGCGAGGAGACCGGCGGCGAGGAGCTCGGGTGCAGTCGGAGGCCCAGGTGCGACGCCTCCCCCACCTAACTGACAGTGGCGAAGGCGCTGCAGACCGCCGCGCTGAGGGTGGTCTACTTGGGCAGCCGCCCGCGCTGCGGGACACGCGCGCGCCCCCCGCCAGCCGGCTGCGTGGGGCGGCCGAGCCCGAGGCGCCCCGCCCGCGGCGGGCTCGCCAGGCCAGGGGTTGCAAAGGAGTGGAGTGGAGGTTCCTCTCGGTCAATTCCAACACCTGGTCGTCGTTCCAGGATGTGTGTGAGTGGCAGCTGGCCCAAGGGCCCGTCTGGCCCAGTTCTGGGGGGTCCAGGAGACCCGACTGGAGGCCGCCCAGGCTTCGGGAGCGGCCCGATGGCTCTCCCAGAGAGGGCTGAGGGGGGTCCGGGGTCTGCACGCAAGCCAGTAGAACGGGGGAGCATGAATTGGCGACCAGTGCTGGGACAATGGCCGCAACTGCAAATCATGTCCGAAGCCGCGGCCTTTCAAGGAGATGGGGCTGAAGGGCCCCGCTGCAGGTCGCATTTCAGCGCTCGTGATCGATGCCATTGTCCCGTCGGGGCTCGTCTGGACCACCATCTACGGGCATGTTGGGCCGGAATGTATTGGAGAAAATCTGTCGTTTCTGGAAAGTGTGGGAGCCAATCTGCAGGGGCATGGGCGCCCCTGAGCCATCGGGTGTGATTTCAACATGGGGCCCGACAACCAGAGCCTCATACGCTGGACCCAACTGCTGGGAGCAAGCGTGATGGCCCCGTCTTGTGCTACCTTCCCAGCTGGAAGTGGACTGCCACGCTGCCTGGACTTCTTCGTGCTCTCGAGGGGGCTTGAGACGTGCATCGCTGACCTCTCCGCGCTGCGTGCTGCTCCCTATGGGTTCATATGCCCCTGCCAAGCTCACCCTCCGCGGCCTCTCTCTCCGCGCCGCGGCCAACATCAGTGTGACTTGGGAAGCGTTTCCCACGAAGGCCCCTGTGGGCCCAGCCAGGGAGCCCATCAACGCACCCGGGCCTGGGACGCCGGGGCGGGCTTGGAAGATCGGCCCCTTGAAGCTTTATGGAGCGAGTGGCTCGGTCACATGGAGGGCGAATTGCGCAGTAGGTTCGACTTAGCTGACGGGGCAGACGACCCCCGCCGTTGTAGGGCAGGTGGTTTTCGCAGACAGCAGGTCCAACTACAGACGCTGCTGGCTCGACGTTGGGAAGGGGGCACGTCTCCCAAAGCCGGGGCCTGGAGGGGCCTCCAGTCGATCTTCCACATGGTCCAGGGGCTCTGGGGGCATCCTGAATCAGACAAGTTTTGGAGTTCCCTGGATGGCTACTTCAAGGGGATCTCGAATCTGGACACGGCTGTCTTGGGGGCCGACCTGGCTGCTGTGGGAGATGCGACTTGGCTGCTGCATGTTGCAGCTGTCGGCGGTGCCCCGTTTGAGCAAGCAGTCGAAGATATCGATCGAGTGGCCGCGCGCGTTGCTCGGGAAGCTGCCCGACTTCGTTTTCAAAAATGGCGAGCTTGGGCCCGCGACGCCGCGGCGAAAGGGGGAAAGGAAGCCCGCAGGCACGCCGAGGACCAGGCGGCCTTCCTCTCCAAGGGGATCGGGCGGTGGGGCACTTACTGGATGAATGGCCGCAGTTTTGGGGGGGCGGCAAGTCCACGATCTCCCCTGGCCTGCAGAGGGCTGCTTTGAGGACTACGTTGCCACCGCCGGCCCTGGATCAGCTCCGGGAAGCGCTGAAGCGTTTTCGCCGCGACGTCGGCCTGGGGGTTGACGTGGGTGACCCTAGGAGTTGGCTCTTGCTCGATGACTCTTTCCTCCTCCGCATCATCGATATCCTCGTCGTCTGGGAAGCTCGACCTGAATTGCCCGAGAAATGGCCGAGCATCATCGTCTTCGCGGGGAAGGCGGAAGGGGGCGGGCTCAGACCTATTGCGTTGGTATGCACCCTCATGAGGGGTTGGGCCAGGGTCAGGCAGGATTTGGCGAAGTCTTGGGAGGCTGAGCACTCCTTACCAGCGCTCTGGGGCGTGAAAGGGAAGACGTGTGAGCGTGCGGGGTGGGGGCACAATGCATGCGCATACCTGGCCGACATCTCCTCCTTCCTCAATGGCACGTTGTTCACAGATCTCTCCAAGTTTTACGAGGGAGTATCCCACAAGCAGCTCATGTCAGAGGCCTTTGCTACGGCCGTGCCCATGCGCTTGGTATTCGCGGCCTGCCGGCTGTACAGTGGTCCGAGGGTGTTGCGCTTCCAAAATAGTGTCAGTTACGTCTTTCGGGCGGAGGGCACCATCCTCGCAGGGTGCTCGCTGGCAACTACGCTGGCGAAGGTCATGCTCTACCGCCTCCCCAGCCACATACATGCCGCCCATCCCGCAATGCACCTACGCAATGTGGCTGATGATGTGCATGCCCAGTGCATTGGATCCGAGAAGCACATTACCCAGGAGCTTGGGGCAGTCGGAAAGAAGCTGGTCCAGGGATACAGAAAGTTAGAGCTGCTCCTGGCTGACAACAAGACGCACTTCCTGGCCTCCACCCCAGCCCTCAGCGCAAAGCTCCAGGACGCTTGGGGTCGTCTCGGGTTCAAGTGGCAACAGGTGACCAGGAACCTTGGGTCCGACGCGACCTGTGCTCGAGTCCGCCGTGCAGGAACGCTCGCAGCTCGCCTCCGCAAAGGACTCAAGCGCAGCTGGCGACTTCGTCGGCTTCGGGGGGCCGCCCAGGCCCATGGCGTTCAACGTGCGGGCCCTCAAGCTTGTGCCTTTTGGGGGGCCTCTGTCACGGGCATCAAGGGTAGTAGCCTTCACAGGCTTAGGGTTGCGGCAGTAGGTTCGTTGCACCCTGTCAAGGGGACGGCCTCGGTAGGCCTCCGTCTCTACTCCTCCAGGGCCGGCCAGAAGATGGACCCCCAGGCCATCTACCACAAGGATGTGGTCCTCTTCTGGGCCCAAGCCATTTGGGAGGGAAGGCCGAGTTTGAGCATGATGCAGCGTGTCTTAGAGTCGGTGTGCGATGAGCTCGTCCGACGTAAGTTGTCGTGGGGAGCGGCCCGATCGCCTGTCCACGTTTTTGTTTTGACCCTCAGGGACCTCGGCTGGAGTATCGACAACGCTAGGCCCCTCAGGTCCGAAACGGGTATGCCAATAGATTTGCTCGCGCTGGCACCTATACAGGTTGGGTGGCTGGCCCAGCGAGCCTCGCGTTTCCGCTCGGACAATGTGGCCCTCCAGGCTCGGTCGGGGTCCCAGAGTTGGTCCAGGCCCGTCATGCGGAAGCCCCTCTTGAATCTCCTGGATGGGCCTAAGGTGGCCGCGGGCCCCTCGGCCTCCTGGGACTAACCCAGGCAGGCGGCTTTAAGGAGTTGCGTCTCACAATGCCATTTGCCGCAGAAGAGGCTGCACAGGCACGGCTATGTTAGCTCGCCTCTTCAAGCAATGCGGAGTGGCTCCAGGTGCCTCGTTTCACAGACGCTTCAGATGTGACGCGAGCCAGGCCCTGCGCTGGACGCGCTGCAGTCCGCTCCTCATGCGTTGCATGGCCAACCTGGAGGCCTGGAACCAAGACCTGGACAAGGCCGCTGCTGGCCTCTTCCCCCTCGTCCCCGAGCTTGCCCCTCCCCCTCTGGTCAGCAGCCAGGCTGGAGTGTTCTGGGTGAACCGCCCTGTCGAAGGTGGCTTGTCTGGCAACATGTTCACCGATGGTTCAGCTCTCGGCCCATCCAACCAGTTGTGTACGAGGGCGGGGCGGGGGATGGCCATGGTGGACGTTTTTTTTCTTTCCGCCGCGGGGTGCTATGGGGCCGCCCCTTTGGAGATGGCCCCTTGGCAGGCTGCCAGAGACGGAGAGGACTATGCCATGTATATGGCTGCCTTCGGATGCGTGGCGGGGCCCGCGGCGTACTATGTTGACTGCGCTGCCACTATCAGGGCGGCTAGGTTACCCACTTTTGCGGGCAGTGCTGCGCGCAGCCGTGCCCACTTGTGGACTCGGTTCTTCCATTTCCATGATGGGGAGCCGCCACCTGTTGCGAAGGTCCGAGCTCATTCGTCGCGGGTCGATGTGGAGCGGGGGCTTTCGACCCCATTCCACAAGAGAGGCTCGGACGAGGCTGATAAGCTAGCAAGGCTTGGGGCGCAGCGCCATGCGTCAACGGCCCAGGCTGCGCTGAAGCTCCGCGTGCTTGAATCGGTTGCGCGACAAGCTGGCCATTGGGCTGGCGAGCGTGGGCCTGGAGGGCCGACAGGAAGCTGCGTGTCTGTGATGATCTCGTGGGCCCCGAGGGGGTCGGTCGGGGCCGTGCTGTTCCCCAGCAGCTGACCGTGCCGAGAGTTCGTTTCGGGGGCCAGCAGTTCGTCCAGTCTGATCCGCAGCACCATGAATAGGTCTCCCTCATCAATATGCTTGGTCACTCGCTCCGCAAGGCCACAGTGTTTGGCCCTGACCGTGAGCGTGTGACTCGAGGGGGTACCGTCCTTGTGTGCACTAAGTGTGGGGGTTATAGTTGGGGGCGGTGAAGGCCCTGAACCGCTCCTGCACCCCGCCCACGGTGGCCCTGAAGAGGCAGTTAAACCGTGTCGTAAACGGCGTTGTTCCATCGTGGGCTCCTCAGTATAAGGGGTGGACCATCGGCCCAACGAGGCCAGCCACCCCAGCGGATGTGGCCATCCTGGCCACCACGTTTTCGGCCGATCTCTCCCTGGGCGGTGGGGGGTGGGGGACGTGGTCGCCGTCGTCGTGGGGGGAGCGGTGGAGTGAAGCGGAGTGTGCGGCTCGGTTCGGTCTCACGCCCGACCAGCTGGCGGAGGAGGCGGACCGTTTCCGCGGGGAGGATGAGGAGTCCAAGGAGTCGAGGCGGGCGGCCTGGCAGGCCCGCCGCTGACGCCCCTCGGGGCTGCCCCCCCCCCCCCCCCCTTTCTTCCGCTCTCTCTTTTCCCTCCGCTGGTGGCGGAAGTGGCTGGCGCCCCCGAGAGCGCCGCCCAGCGGGAGGAATTTCGGTGGGCTGAGGTGTGTCACGGACCTCCCCCGCCATGGGAAATAGAAATAGAGGAGGAGGAGGAGGAGGACGAGGACGAGGACGAGGAGGACGAGGAGGACGAGGAGGACGAGGAGGAGGAGGAGGAGGAGGAGGAGGAGGAGGAGGAGGAGGAGGAGGAAAACGAGCTCGCTCTGAAAAATCACCCCGTCCACCCCCCTGGCCTCCGCGCCCTGGATCGCCACCTCGTGCCCCCCCCCCTGGCCTTCCAGGCAACCCGGAATTGTCACCCCCCCGTCTGCCTGCCCTGCCCCCCCGCTATTGCGGGGGCGAGGAAGCCCGCGAAACATTTGTTTTAATCGTCCGCCCCACAAAGTTTTGTTTGTTTTGATCGCTTCCCTTCATTACTCCAGTTTTTCATTTACTCCTTCCGACCGGCCTGTAGCCTGGGGCCAACAGCAGGCCCGCATGAGGCTCCCCCGCGCCGCCCGCGGGGCCGGGGGGGGGGGGCTGGGGCGGTCAGGACCTCCGCGAGCACCATGCGCCTGAGGGAGGAGCTCGCGCAGGCGCCGCGGGGGGGGGGAGGGTGGGATAGAGGAGGGAGGAAAGAGAGAAAGAGGATAGAGGAGGAGTGAAGTAAAAAGGAGAAAGAAGGATGAGCATGAGGATGAGGACGCGAGGGAGGAGGAAGAGCAGGAGGAGGAGGAGGAGGTGGAGGAGGAGGAGGAGGAAGAGGAAAAGGAGGAGCAGGAAGAGGAGGAGGGAGGAGCAGGATGAGAGATGAGGGAAGACCAGGACGGGGGAGGAGGGAGGGAGGGAAAGATGAGTGATGTTGGTGATGATACTGATGGTGCTGATGACGATGATGTTGATGGTGGTGATGATGGTGTTGATGGTGTTGATGATGTTGATGATGATGATGATGCTGATGATGATGATGATGATGATGATGATGATGATGATGATGCGGATGATGGTGATGATGATGATGATGATGATGATGATGATGATGATGATGATGATGATGATGCTGATGCTGATGCTGATGCTGATGCTGATGCTGATGCTGATGCTGGTGCTGCTGATGATGATGCTGATGAGGATCATGAGGAGGAGGATGGTGATAGGGAGGAGGGAGGAGGAGGAGGAGGAGGAGGAGGAGGATAAGGAGGGAGGAGGAGGAGGAGGAGGAGGAGGAGGAGGAGGAGGAGGAGGGAGGTGGCAGGAGGAGTAGCGGGCGGAGAGGAGGATGGAGGATATAGAGAGGAATGAGTGATTGCGTGAGGCAATGACTAAGTCATATCGGCCACTGTGCTTACAATATGTTGACATCTGGCTTAACCTCAGAGCGGAAGCCGCGACGATGTTCCTAGCCCATGTTCGCGAAACGTTTGCATTGCATAGTCTTGTTTCAGTAAACAGTGGTTTTTGTTGGAAGGGAACGTTGAACTCCGCTTGAAGGCAGTGACCGAAGTATCCAGCAACAACACCTCCAAACCATCCAAGTATTGCCACCAGAGAGGGATTTCGAAGCTCGGAAGTACTGGACTCGAAACTTCCTGCACCCCGCGCTCCTTGCGGACGGGGCGTACAGAAATGCTGTCAGCATTCCTTTTTAAGCAGGGTTTGTGATGGGCCCGAAGCCCCCCGCATACCGCGTGCTCTGCGGACTGGACGGCGAAGCTGAATAATCGGAGCAGGACACCGCATCACACGCCTGTACAATATTGTTTGTGTTCGCCCAGCTTTCGCCGCGCCCTTTCTGAGTGAATACTGCCGTGCCGTCCTGGCGCCAAGCATGTCCCTCGAGTGTTGGGCGGAGGTACTGGGCGCGGGAAGGCTATGGTTAAGTCAAGCATGTCCCTCTACAGGAAGAAAGTTCAAAAATGGTAGAACAAATAGTTCGGGGACGATCTTTTGGCTATTTTTCGACAATTTGGGAGTATTTGTGAGTTTTTGCTTTCGTCCAAAATCCGCCTGTAGGGGGACATGCCCGACCTAAGGCCATGGACAACCTCGAGCAAAATTGCTATGGCTACCCGGAGGCCGAATGGCCAGGGACAACCTCGAGGTGCACGGGATTTGAAGAGATGGAGGGAGAATGGGGCGTGGAAGGCAGGAGGGAGAAGAGGAAGAGAGTCTTGATATGGTGGGAGAAGGAGGAGCGAAGGAGGAGCACGTGGAGGCTGAGGAAGGAGTAGGGCGGATGTGGGGGAGCAGGAGGAGGAGGAGGAGGAGGAGGAGGAGGAGGAGGAGGAGGAGGAGGGAGGAGGAGAAGGAGGAGGAGGAGGAGGAGGAGGAGCACGAGGAGGAGGAGGAGGAAGAGGAGGATCACGAGGAGGAGCACGAGGTGGAGGATGGGTGCGTGGACGTGGACGTGGAAGAGAGGGGTGGTGATTTAGAGGAGGACGACCAGAGGGTGAAGGATCAGTTTTGACTGGGTGAGTCAGGATGGCCCGGCCGAGCGAGACGGCGGGCCTGGCCAGCCGCTACCAGAAAACACAACAAACAAAAGTTTGAGGCACGGTTGCCATCCTCAAGGGCTCCCACAAGGGCGCGAAGTTGTTCGCGCTTCGCGCTGTGCGGTCCTCGTTCCCTCTCCCCCTCCTCATCGTCTTCCGTTTCTCCCTTTGGTGGGGCGGCGCGAGAGCGCGTATTTATTCGCGTTTCTCGGAGCACGAAGCGCGAAATTGGGAGCCCTAGCATCCTGGCGATGCGTACACGCCTGTCGTTGAAAGTAGGTGTATTTTTTTGGATCCCCAGATCCCAATCTACTTGGAGCGCCTTCCTGCTTCGAGAATCGATATGCTTCTGCCGTATGTTGCTATGCTCTGGGAGGGCCTGGACCCAGTCTGCCTTGTCCGCCTCCCTGCCTCCTGCTCTCGCCCGCTCCTTCGACCGGCGTGCGTGCCGCTCGCATGGTGCGTGTGCTCGATGCGGTCTGCCCTCCACCTCTCGGGCCGGACGAAAGGAGAGGATTGGGAAAGGGGGGGGTACGAAATCTGCTGCATGCAGCTGGTGTCGGCCCCGCCGCCGGGCCCATTCCTCGATGCATGGGCGCCTCCGGCGCCCCTGGAGGCGCCGGGAAAATCAGCTACGCGAGCTGATTCTCAAACCTCCCCATTGCTATCCCCCCCTTTCGCCCGGCCCTCCACCTCGGCCTGGGTGTACCAGCCTGGAACATATCCCTATCCCTATGCTGGGCACCTCCTCATCACGATGCCAATCTTAGGGATTCCCTTATTGTTTGAAGGCGAATCCCTAAGATTGTCATCGCCTTTTGGCGTGTCAATCTTAGGGATAGGGATACGTTCGAGGCTGGTAATGGGTGGCTTCGGCGGCGGGGCCCCATACTCCGCGCGGAGAGACGGCGCGGCCCCGCGGCTCCCGGCCGGCCCGCGGCCTCTCGGGGAGCTGCCCGCACGCTGCCGCCCCCCACGGTCTCTGCGCGCGGCCGCGAGCGGAGCGACGGCGTCGGGGCCACCAGGAAGGCCTCCTCCTCCTCCTCCTCCTCCTCCTCCTCCTCCTCTTCCTCCTCCTCCTCGTCCTCCTCTTCCTCGTGCTCCTCCTCCTCCTCCTCCTCCTCCTCTTCCTCTTCCTCGTCATCCTCCTCCTCCTCCTCCTCCTCCTCCTCCTCCTCCAATCGGCGGAGGGGAGGGGTGCCCATGCCCCTGCCCTCTCTCCCTCGCTTCCCCCTTCCTGGGCCTCCTGGGAGGCCCCCCCGTCGCCACCGCTGGACTCGCCTCGAAGTGCGTGTCGGGACGCACCCCGGCAGAGGTCCGGGGAGTTGCGGCATCGGTACCTTTCGGTCTCCCCAGCCAGGAGACCGGCTCAGTGGCAACGGGCAGACGACGGGGTTGTGTCATAATTCATTGGCAGCGGCGAGAGAGGCACGACGGCAAGGAGCTGGCGAGGCACTGCGGGAGAAGGCCCTCCGGCACCACAGGGTGGCGGCGAGCTTTCAGGACGAGTGGCAGGCGACGTACTTCGGTACAAAGGGCGGGCGCCCGTTCATCGACTAATTACGTGTTCTTCTCCTTGCACCTAGGGAGCGTGGTGCTGAGGTGCCACCCCCTGCGCAAGCGGGATGGCCAATGTGCAGGCATTCAGGGGACCTCTCCCACGGGACCAGCTACACCGCTTGCGTTATATCCATGTTCCGCGATGGTTCGCTCATATTGTGCGAGAGCCTCGTTCTGAACGAACTCGTGGCAATACAATGGGCCCATTTAAACGTGACAGAGGCACCAAAAGGGATTTTCTGAAAGTAGTGGTGGGTGGTTTAAACAGATTATGATGATGGGCAAGTGGCGGGTATGCTACAGTGGAAACGCATATCAAGAAACACCCTGCTTGTCTCCAGGGTACACTTGGAGTTTTGGTATTTGATGATTCCGCAATGGAAAGCGTGACATTCCCACGCCAACAACCAATGGACGTCCTGGGGTCTCAGTGTTGGGTTCCTTGTGGAAGTGCTCTACTGTGCGTGCGGGGGCTTTTGTTTTTGCAGGGCTTTGATCGGCGGCGAGCGAGGGGGGGAAGTGAGAAGGAGAAGGCCTTCTCAGAAGGTTCGGAAATCCACCAGCCTTCTAAGCCTGCCCCGAAAACCACAAAAACTTCTCAGAAGGCGCGAGGGTCTCAGAAGGCGCGAGGGTTTCTGAGAAGTCCCGCCGCCTTCATAGAAGGCCTTCCCCTTCTCATTTCCCCCCCGCTCTCGCCACCGAACAGCACAAATGGTGGGTGCAGGACAGACGTCTTCCGCGCAGGAACAAACAAGCAGGAGGACCGTCTGGGCCTGCTGCCCCATCGGGCGGGAGCTGCTAACAATAAGTACGAATGCGCGCAGAGCTACGGGCATCTCACGCAGCGAGTACGGATGAGCCCGAGGAGTGCGAGTAGGTTGGTGGGAATGGAGAATGGGGAGGCCCTCTCAGAAGGAGAAGCGAGAGGGAGAATGCGCTCTCAGAAGGGGGCGCTCGGCGGCGAGCAAGGGGGGGAATCTAGAAGGAGAAGGGCTTCTCAGAAGGCGGCCAGACTTCTCGGAGGCCCTCGCGCTTTCTGAAACGTTTTTGCTTGTGTCTTCGGGGGAGGCTAGGACCGCTTCTCAGAAGGCCGCGGAACTTCCGAGCCTTCTGAAAAGGCCCGCCCCATCTCATTTCCCCCGGGCTGGCCGCCGAATTTCAGCAAAGGAGACAGCAGAAGGAGACACACAAGTTCGGCGTTTCAAAGAACTGGCAATGGCAGTGACGTTGTCTCGACTGGCCTGTAGGTGCAAACTCGGCCCCCAAGAAACGTGATGGGCGAGCGGTGCGACCTGCCCAACGTTCACGAGAGCGGCGACACACATGGAGGCAACCTGCACGCCAAGGAGGCATTTCAGCGCAAGGAGCTCCAGGACCAATTTGCAAGTGATGCTGGATACGCTGCCTTTTTTTCTGACGGTGGAGATTGAGGAAAGAGCTCGATCTGACGAGAAACGAGCAGCATGTTAAGTTCAGAATGCAGGCCGACGACGATGGGGTACAGCTGAGCCCCGCACCGGTAGAGCTCTGTCAGTTCTGCTTCCACCCCGACACGGCATTGTTCACAGGACGGTGGGGGCAGGTACAGACGTGGACATTTCAGATATGTTTTTTTTGGTTTTGAAGTGCTGCGGGGCTGGATTGGTGTGGTACGGCGAGCAGCCGCGAACTCCGTGGCACCACAGTTCTGCGTTGGGGATGGGGTTTGGGGACCGGATGGAAAGAGAATCATCGATTTGTTTGGCTCGCTGGGGACATGTTTCTTTTCCGAGATGGTCAAGATACCAGCGGACGCAAGCGACTATGGCTTCGTGACATGCTGGCGATGGGAAGGGGCCACCATGACGTCACAGGCGCCGTCGACATTGTGATTACAGTTTGTCGGCCAGTTTGAGAGACATGGGCAATTATATCGCTTCGGGGTAGTCCGAGGAGCTAGACGAGACAGCGGGCTTGCATGTGGAAATTTATTTGAGCCTCCCGCTGGCCAGGCAGAGATATCGGGATTCGCGCATGTGCCTGCCGAGAGCGGAGGGGCAACCTCTGCGGCTTCGACCAGAGGAGAAGGAACAGTTTGGGGCTCTCTTGCGATTCACCTGTTCAGGGTCACCGTCAAATGATCAACTTCGATGATGAACATGTGAGGAATCCCGCCCGACGATCCGATCATTGAAAGCGGCATGAACAGACGTAGGAACTCCTTTGTAGCCTCTAGATTTCGGAAGTTCTCGGGACTTCTGAATTTGATGATTGTGTGTGAAGAGACTTTCGAGCTGCAATGGAAGCATTGGGAATATGGTGCCAACAGTCGCAATCAGGTTGCGCTGTTTCTTGTTTAGGGGGACGGTGTCTTGAGGGTCAAACGATGTCTTCGCCACCGCGCCGCCCCCAAGAGGGGGGTAATTCCGCGAATGCACAGGGCACCTGGGGCCCTGCGTTTCATTGCCGGGCATCGCGGGGCCCGTGGTGATAGGGGGCAAGGAGGCTGCGTCTGCAGATGTCTAATGTGGCGTGTTGTTTTGCTCTTTGAGATTCCCGCGGAGGCGGGCAATACTGTGTCTGATTTAGCCAGTGCAGGATGCTTGATGAAGTGGATTTAGAAACGTTGCTGATAGCTAGACCTTGGACGCGCATCTCGCACGCGTAGCCAGAGTGCCAGTGCGTGGACAAGGCGCGGCGCGCGACGGTCAGCCGCGACGACTTGGTCTAATTCGAAGGCGTCGGAGTATTGGGGGCTTGCCCCGACCAGCCGAGAGTTGCTCGATCGACGGTCGGGTGTGGCAGCAGCTGATTGCTCGTTTTCCCGATGATCGCTCTCCTCTGCCTTGGCTCTGGGCTGGGTCGGGCGAAGGCATGGGGGGCCGACGGCCTGGCGGGTGGCACCTCGAGCGCGCTTCTTCTCGCAAGGCGCGCCAGGGGTGACCTCGCCCCCCACGCTCGAGCGAGCCGCTCTGCGAAGGGGGCGCAGGCGCGCTCCACTTCCCCGCCCGCCCGCACCTGCCCCGCCCCAGAACGCGGGGTTCGGGGCGGGGGCCTCTTCCCCACCCCGAGCGCAGAGGCTCGAGGAGGTCCCCCTCCGCGCGGGTCAGGACCGCTCGAGCGGTGTGACTACTTGGCGCGCGTGCATGCGCAGACCAGAGCCTCTTCTGCGGTACCGTGGCCGGGGGGGATGGAGGGCCTGGCCCCATCTCCCCCCCGTTGGCGCGGTCTTGGCTCGTCTCTCTCTCTCTCTCTCTCTTTCTCTCTTTCTCTCTCTCTCTCTCTCTTTTTCTCTCTCTCTCTCTCTCTCTCTCTCTCTCTGCTTGCGGCACCCCTTCCCTTGCAGTGTGGATGGCGAGGGTGCGCGCGGACCACCGGCGCAGCGCGTGTTCTTGGTGGGGCGGGCCGCGCCGCGCACCGGGCCGCTGCGCCAGCTGCCAAGCGGCCCCGCCGATTGACGGCAGGACCCGCGCCCAGCGGGGCAACGCCTTCTGCAGAGTCTGCTGCCGCTTGTCCGCGGAGCGCAAGACGCATGGTCGCAGCCTCCGGCAGTGGGCGCGCAGGTTGCCCGCGGCCGCGGCTGGTGCCCTCGGCGGTTCGGCCGCCTGCGGTCGGGCGCGCGGCGGTAGCCGCGGACGGCCCGCGGCTGCGCCGCTCTTGGCGCCGGGGAGCTGAGGCGCGCTCGGCCCGGCGCTGTGGGCCGGCTGGTGTGGCTGCGCTCGCGCGGGCAGCGCGCGCCCGCCATGGGCGGGCAGTCCGCCAGGGGCTTGTCTGGCGAGCGGTGCCTTCTGCGCACGGCTCTGCTTTGTGGGCACCTCCGCGGGCTCCGCCAGTGCCGCCTCCTCCTCTCGCGCCGCGATTCGTGGTTGCCCGGGAGGGTGGCGGTTCGGCGCTGCGCGGGGCAAGCCCATGGCCGCGGCCTGAGGCTTGCAGCCAATACAAGCAGAAGACAGCAATTCAACGCGCTTGCTCCGTTTTCGGCCGCCTCCGCGCCGAGCTCGGTTTTGCGCGCGATGAACTTGCGTTGTGCGGTTGGCTGGCAAAACGTGTTTCTCCGTAGGCTCATCGGATCCAGGAGGCCTTTGCACAGGCTTGTGTGTTGATGGGGCATCGGGCACTGCGTATGGGGGAGCTCTCTGAGCACCCCTGCAGGGTCGTGGATCCAGAATTGGCATCCGATTCGAATCAAGTTTACGTTGTCTTACCTTGGGCCACGCAGGTACGAGCAGCCGCGCCACCACCAGGATAAACACAACGCGCTGTAAACCCTGGGCCCCCTGCACCTGGAACGCCACGTGAATGGAAATGCGAATAGGCGGAGGCGGAGGAGGAGGAGGAGGAGGAAGAGGAGGAGGAGGAGGAGGAGGAGGATATGCAGAGGAGAAGGAGGAGGAGGCGGAGGAAGTTGTCAGGTTTGTGCAATTTTGCACAAGCGGACGCTCAACCATGCGATAGCTCAACATACTGTGCGAAACGCTGGACATGCGCTGACGCCGACGAAGCTGCCTGCGGCATGCAAAGCGGCATCGAGCTCCAAGGTGGCAGCGGAGAAGCATGTTGCCAGGTCGTTCGTGAGTGGGTATCGCCTACCTCAAGAGGCTCATAAATTCCGCGGCCTGATTCCTCCCGACCCGAATCGTTGACGTACCGATTGCGCAGATATGGGCCACGCAGACCTGGACCACGTCAGTAGCCACCCGTTTCAATATCTATCTCCCGAGGCCTGTGCTGCCGAAGCGGCCCCCCGGCCACCGATCGCAAGCAAAAGGCGGTCGGGGGCGCCCGGCGGCGCCGGCCTGGCTGGGAGGGGGGGTGGCAGAGGCCGCGATGGCCAGGAAGGAGAAGGCGCTGGACAACGGGGTACACGAAGCGGTGAAGACGACGCTGCACGCCCTCAGGACGTTGCAGGTGATGCTGGCCGAAGTCGAGCTGGCGGCGCTCAAAGCCAACCACGGCAGCGCTGGGCAGGCGCCGCCGCGCGTGCGACGCCGCTGGGCCGCACCAGGGCCGCGGCGCCGAGAACCCCGCGTGGGCGGCGACGCGGCGGTGCCTGCGGCCGCGGCCAGGAGAGCGCTGCCGGCAGCGCCGCGCCAGAGCCCCGCCGAGGCGGCCTGCGCGCTCTTCGCCGGCGGCGCCTGGCGCGCGCACGTCGCTTCGCAGGGGCCGGGGTGGGTCGCCTGCGTGCGATGCGGCTGCTGGGCTCCCGCGTGGGAGCTCCTGGCCAGCCGCCCGCCCCTGCGGTGGGTGGCGCTGCCGCCACGGGCAGCAGGTCTGCTTCTGCTCCCAGCAGCGCGCGCGGGCGGCGCGGAGGCGGCTTGGCGCGGCGCCCTGCGGGCTCGCTGGGAGGCCCGCCCGCGGGCGCCGGACTGATTTAGTGCATGCAGCCGGGCTGCGGGCTGCGCGCCTGGCCCTCCCCCTCCCCTCCCCGTTCCCTCCCCCCCGCCGCCTCCTGCCTCCTCCCTGCCACTGGGCTTCGCTGGATGGTAAAACAAAAATGTTGTCCCGTCTGCTCGCGGACGCGTGCGCGGTCGCGTTCGTGGCGGTCGGGCTGCTCGTCGGGGGGCCTATCGGAGGGCCGCGGGGGCGCGGAACAGGGAGCAGTGGCAATAGACGCCCGCGCCCTCGGCCTCCCAAGGGGGCCCCCTCCCGGGCCAAAGGGCCACGGGCCCAGAGGAGGAGTCTGCTCCCGAACGGGGCCATGCCCCAGGAGGGGGGTTCGAAGCGGATCCTGTTCTCCCGGCCCGACTCCTAAGGCGGTGGACGCCTGCTGGGCCCACCACTCGTGAGCCAGAGGGGCAGGACTCGCTTCGTTCCCCGCTCGTTCCGGCTCACACATGTAGAGAAATTTGCCACCACAATGAGAGGCCCCTCGGGATCAAAAAGGGGAGGTATTTCTTGGAACTCGTTCAGCCCAGCTGACGAAGGATCCCGTCATTCTGTCTGCCTATCTGTCTGTTTGTCTGTGCGTCTGTCACCCCATTTGCCGTCATTCCTTCTCACAGTTGTGTCTCCCCTTCCTCCCCTTCTCGCTCCTCGTCCTCGCTCCACCTTCCGCTTCCGTCCTGCCTTTCCTTTCCTGTTTCCCCTCCGCCTCTTTCCTCTGGCCCTTCTACCCTCCTCTCTCCTGTGGCTCATCTTCCCTCTCCTTCGCTGTGTTCCCCCAGAATGCTCCTCTGTCTGTTCCTCCTCCTCCTCCTCCTCCTCCTCCTCCTCCTATTCCTCTTCCTCCTCGTCCTTCTGTTTCTTCATTTCCCGCTTGGGAAGGCGGTGCAGGAGGAAATCGCCAAGGCCATCCTTCCGCTGCAGGAGATCCCCCCCCGATGAGGCAAGGGAGGACGATATGAGGAAGGGAAGGAAAGGATGGCGAATTGGGGAAGACGAGTTCTCCCTCGTCCGTTCCTCTTCGAAGAATGGGGGAGAAGTGCAGATGGAGAGGGAGGAGACGGAGGAGGAAGAGGAAGAGAAGGAGGACCAGGAGGAGGCAGAGGAGGAGACAGAGGAAGAGGAGGAGGAGGACTCCCTCGTCACTCATTTCTGCCCCTCTTCTTCCACCGGGCTTCCTGCGCAGAGTGCGATCTGGCACGCGCCTAGATCGGGGCCCGATCCCTTGGCGTCTGCACCTGGGCCTCGCAAGCAAGGCTTCCGAGGGTGTCAGCAGGCAGCTGCAAGTAGGGAATGGGGTGGGAGGAAATTACATAGGAGAGGAGGAGGAGGTGGAGGGAAGGGGAGCAGGAGGAGATGAGTGACCTCACATGTCTCCCAGCACCGGGGACATGCTTCTTCTGTGTTGCTTGCGAGGCAGGACCAGAGTGGCCCTGTGGCGAACACGCTCCTTGCAGGCGCAGCGGTGGTTTGCAGAACTCATGGCGAATCAGCTACTCTTGGAGAGCAGGGCCGAGAGCCCGATCCTCGAAAGTGCTGCCGCACACTCCGCGGTGCAGGGGGGCCGCCGTGGGCCTGCTTGGTGCGGTGGAGCTGCAGAGGCTTCGGGGACTGTGATCGACATGACTCGAGAACGAGACGTGGGTGACTCCTCCTCCTCCTCCTCCTCCTCGCAGGCGAGTTGTCTCCCCAAACCCCCGACCTTCGACGAGCAAGGACAGCCTCCAGACAAGGAGGGAAACCCTGGGATACACCCCAAGTGGGCGATTCGAGTGCACCCTATCAAGGATGGGCGCCGCCACATCGCAGATCCCAGGGTTGGGCCCTAAACTTTCAGGCCCGCTCGAAAGCCCAACGAAACCTGGGGTAGGGGCCGACATATCCCCCGTTGCAAAACCGTGCCGTGACCCCAAGGCCCCAAATGCCCACTGGGCGGTGTGGTCACCACACCTTTCGGGGACCCCCGACAAAGAGGAGGAGGAGGAGAGGGAGGAGAGGAGGAAGAGGAGGAAGAGGAGGAAGAGGAGGAGGAGGAGGTGGAAGGGGAGGAACAGGAGGAGGAGTAGGAGGAGGAGGAGAAGGTGGAAGGGGAGGAACAAGAGGAGGAGGAGGAGGAGGAGGAGGAGGAGGAATGGGAGGAGGAGGAGGTTGAATGGGACGAGGACGCAGAGGAGGAGGAAGAGGAGGAGGTGGAGGAGGGGTGGAAGGGGAGGAACAGGAGGAGGAGGAGGAGGAGGAGGAGAAGGTGGAAGGGGAGGAACAGGAGGAGGAGGAGGAGGAGGAGGAGGAGGAGGAAGAGGAGGAGGAGGAGGAGAATGAGGTGGAGGAGGAGGAGGAAGAGGAGGAGGGAGGAGTATCAGGAGCCCCCCCCCCTCCCGTGGCGACAGGGGCTGCAGCAGGGGGCGGTGGTAGGTATTCTCACGAACGCCTGCGGAAGGTCATTGCGACGGGGAGGACGGCGACAGGACGACGAGGCGATCACGGGGACGACCGCTTCCCTGTTCCCAGAAAAGCGCGGGAACGGGATGAAAAATCTCAGAGCGTTCGGGGACGCTTGAATGACGTTCTGGAACGCTTCAGAACGGCAGCTGCTCCCGATGCGCCCTTCAGGTCTAGGCCCGTTCGATCTCAGAAGTATCCGACTTGTCCGATCCGATGTTGTTTCGTTTCTGTCTTGAATGTTTGCCCGCTCTCCTCACCCTCGTCCGCCCTCTCGAGGCTTTTTTGGGAGACTCTGCCAAGGTTACTTGCGTGGACGGGGGGTGATGTCGGCGTGGCGAGGCTCGGCAAGCAATCTGGACTTTACACAAGTCTGGACTCACTTGCACTACTTTTCGGCCCAGCGCCGTTTTAGAAGACGGCGGAAGGTGGAGTGGCATGACAGGCACATGAAGCTGCCAGAACCTGAATTACAGCATTATTAATTGGCTGACGCCGCACCGCCGACCCCTTGGGGCGGCAGCAAGAGGGAAAAACGGAGTTTGCAGAACGATTTCTGGGTAATCTTGGGGTTTCAGCTTCTTGGGATTTCGTCGGGGTCGGTTGGCAGATCGCGGCTCTGCTTTTTGGCTTTTCTGGGCTCTCCTGGCCCCTGGCAGCACTTTTGAATCCTCTTGGGAGCCGTTTTGAAGCCTTTGGGAGCCTCTTTTGGGCCTATCGGGGGCCTCGTGGGAGCCTCTTGGGGGCCTATTGGCGCCTCCTCCGGTTTTTTCAGGGCCCAGTGCTCAAAATGTTCATTCGGGTTCCCCCTCTGGGCCTCCTCTTCGGGCCGTCCTGGGGCCCTCCTGGATCGTTTTGGAAGCTTCTGGGGCCGTCTTGGGGCCCTCTTGGGCCGTCTTGGAGCCCTCTTGGGGGCCTCGTGGGCTATCTTGAGTCGATCTTAAAGGCTTCTTGGGTCGTTGTGGGCCTCGTGAAAACCCAAGAGGCCAATGTGCTAAAATTATACGTTTGGGAATGGAGCGATTTTTGCTTCTGGAGGGCCTCTTGGGACGCCTCTTGGTGGCTTCTTGGGGGATCTTGGGGGCCTCTGGGACCGTCTGGAGGTAATCTTGGGCGTCTTGGAGCGATCTTTCGGCGACTCGTAGCCCCCCTCTTCAACCGTCTGGGGGGGCCCGTGGGGGCCCTCTTGGCTCATTTTGGGGGCCCCTGAGGCTCCAAAGGCGCGGCCGACACCTTTGACCCCCCCCCCCTCAAACCGGCCGGACCAGGCTCCCAGGGGAGGGGTTTGGGGAGGGGGAAGTATATCACACGCCGTGACCCCAAGGGGTTGGCGTTTTTTTTGGTGTCCGGCAATTTTTGGACAGCATGACCATAGCTTTGGGTTTTTTCCTTCTCCCTCCCAGTCTGCGTGGGAAGCTCGAGCAGCGACTTGACCCGACCCAACAGAGGGGTTCGCAGAGAAGGTTCTCCGACTCCCACAGGGCCGCACGACTTCACAGGCCAGGGGGAGGAGGGGCTCCCTAAGCACACAGTTCCGAGTACCGTAATCCGTGTCCAGCCTCATGCCGCAACATTTGCCATTCCTTTTCATGCGAAAAGAGAGTGTGACCTTTGCAACAAAACACATCAAACATGTTAAGGCGCGAACGAACGAGACGCACGCACGCTCGGACAAGCCTCCTAGCAACACTTAATACAATTAACAGTTTGTGGATCTCGCCGCCGCCAGGAATGGGAAACGCGCCAGACGTTGAACAACAAGCCGGTGGGAGCTTACTTTTTTGGTCGCGGCCGCGAGCGAAGAGGCAGGCGGCGAGCAGGGTGTCCTGGCCAACGGGCAAGCCTAATTAGCTACAAGACGCGCCGCTAGCTGGCAGGCCCATTCACAAAGCAGTCACGTGGCTGCGGGGAAGCTGACGGCAGGGGGCATCCTGGGAAGCTCGGGCACGTGCAGTGGACAAAATGTCGAGGAATTCGATGCCTGCCGTGAGGCATGACCTACACAGCGACATGACGTGTACCGGGGCAAACGTGTCCGTCATACTGGGTGGGGGCAGGTGCGCAGCCCGATGAGCGAGTCGCCAGTGGGGCGCCAGGCTCCAACCGTCCCAACGACGTGTGCTGACTAGGGGGGCGGAGCTGCCGAGGAACGTGGAACGACGCGACCTGCCGGGGGCGGGGGGATGATCCAGGGGTGTTGCTGCTGCTGCGAAAGGCTGAACCACTCCGTGGCGATCACAGCACCCACAACTCCACCAGACAGTGCACGTGGTAGGCCCAGACGACCGCGAGCTGGCCCCGTGGACAACAGCACAGCGCCAGGCCAGGTGGACTAGAGGAGAAGGCCGGGCAGGCGTGGTGAGCATCGCCAGCGAGGCAGGGGGATCCAGAGGGGCGCTGCACTGGTGGTGAGGCAGCTGCCGCCTGAAGTACGCCAGAGGCCACCGAGGGACGGCCTTATCCTCCAAGTACACAGAGCTGGCTGCACCTCCAGGGGCGGTGTGTGGCGCGTGTCCAAGCAGGGGAAAACCATTGCAATTGGGTGGGGCGCCCTGGGGGAAGCTGCACTGTAGCAGCCGCGAGGGCCGACAGGCGCCATGGGCCGACCATGTCCGCCGCTTCCGCCCTTCCCCGCCGCCACGTGCCTCCAGGGTCGCCGTCAACCGCGCGCCACGTGGGCCTCCAGGGTCGCAGCTACCGCCGCTGAAAGTGAGAAAACTTACCACGGACCGCGGGGGCCCAGGGCGGCCCTGGGGAGGGGGGACGAAGCCAACGGCGTCAGTCGGCACGCCTGGCGAAGCCCCGCCAGTAGATGGCCCGGGGGGGTGGGGGCGGGGATAGACGCGACCGACCGCTCCCGCAGGGGGCCACCAAGGGGGGCGCCCGGTGAAGGAAGCGCAGGGAAGCGAGCCCCGAGGGCCAAGGGCGGGGGGCACCCGCCCGGCCCGAGAGGGGCCCGGGGGGAGAGGCGAGGAGAAGGCACGGCAACGCCCCTCGAACGGGCCCCAGATCTGCCTGTCAAGGGACACGGCCGCCATTCTCGAGAGTCCTCCATGGTCGCAGCTAACCGCCGCTGATGTCAAATAGTAACGAGTGATAGGTCCTTCGCCTGGTGTTGGTGCCGTTCGATGGTGTGGTCCAGAGTGGGCATCCTGCCACGCTGAATGCTGGCCTGCCAACGCGGAGACTGGCACCTCTGCGGGGGCGGTGGGTGGTCCGGAATGGGCAGCCTGCCACGCTGAAGGCTGGTCTGCCAACGCGGAGGCTGGAACCTCTGTGGGGACGGTGTGTGTTGGTTCCTCCAGGGTCGCAGCTAACCGCCGCTGATGTTCTGGCGCCTGCAGTGCGACGAAACTGAGACCTAGCTAGGCTCCAGATTTGCTTGCCTCAGTCCTCTGCGTAAGAGCAGAGCGCGATGCCACTTCCCGCCTCCGCCACGCGCGCTGACCCCAGCGCTGTAGCTGATGACGTCTGGCGCAAATTTTGCCCCTCGCATCTCGCTGAGGAGCGACCGAGCCTGCGCCCACTGCCCAACTTCCCCACACGCGCTGATCTAGGCATTGTAGCTGCTAGCTTCTGGCTGCAGCGTCGCCTTCCACATCTCGCTGCGCAGCGACAGAGCCCGCTGCCACGGTTCGCCTCGCCCACGCGCGCTTATCGCAGCATTGTAGCGCACGACGTCGGGCTCCCACGTCGCGCCCCATATCTTTCTAAGCAGCGACAAAGCCCGTTGCCACTGCCGGCCTTTCTCGCACGCCCGACCCCAGCGTTGTAGCTGATTATGTTGGTCTCCAGATTCGAATTTGACACCTCGCGGAGCAACCCTGAGCATGGGGCCGCTGATCGGCTGTCTCGCACGTGCTACTGCCCTCGCTGTATCTGATGACGTCTGGCTCCAATTTCGCCTCTCGAATCTCGCTGAGCAGCGACAGTGCCTGCTGCCACTGACCGCCTATCTCGCGCGCGCTGATCGCAACGTTGTAACCGATGGCGTCTGGCTCCAACTTCGCGCCACAGATCTCGCCAAGCCGGGGCAGCGCCTGCTGCCATCGTCTGCCTTTCACGCACACTCTGATCCCACTGCTGTAACTGATCACGTTGGGCTCCGATGCCGCCTGACACATTCTCGCAGTGACAGGGTTCCGATGCCGAGCAGTGGCAGGGCCTGCTGCCAGCGCCCACCCTTCTCGCAGGCGCTGATTCCAGCGCTGCAACTGATGACGGCGGGCTCCAACATAGCTTCCCGCATGCCGGCGAGTAGCGACAGAGCATGCTGCCATTCCCCGCTTTCCTGACACGCATTGACTCCAGCGTTGTAGCTGGCAGCGTTGCGCTCCACCTCTACTTCTGACACCCCACTGAGCAGCGACAGTGCGAGTTGCCATTGCTCGCCCCAGGAGCACGCGCTGATCGCAGCGCTGTAGCTCAGAACGTCCAGCTCGCACCTCGCGCCCCGCATCTCGCCGAGCAAAGACGGAGCTTTTCGCCATTGTCCGCCTTTCTCGCACGCGCTGATGCCAGCGTAGTAGCTGGTGACGTTGGGCTCCAACTTTGTCTGTCACATATCACCTAGCAGCGACAGCGCCTGAAACCACTGCCCACTTTTCTCGCAAGCGCTGCCCCCAGCGCTGTAGCTGATGACGTCTGGTTCTAATGCTATATGCCACATGTCGCGGAGCAGCGACAGTGCCAATTGCCACTGCTCGCCTTTCTCGCAGGCGCTGATCCCAACGCTGCAGCTGACTAAACGAGCCTGCGGATGGAAAGTCCACGCGGGTCTGCAACGGGCCAAGGGCAGACGCGTGGACTACTGCCCACGGGAGCGTTCTCGCATGCGCGGTTGGGTGGCAATGCAGTCGAGTCCTCCAGGGTCGCAGCTAACCGCCGCTGAAGCGTCGAGAGGAGGTCTCCTGCCCGTAGTCTCAGCTGCACCCCGCGTGGATCCAGGGTCGCGGCAAACCGCCGCTCTGGGTTGAGTGAAGGGGGGCGCCCACGGAGGGTGGCGGCAGACGGCCCTTGTCAGAAAGGACCAGGATGCCAGAGTACCAGAGCCCCCGTGGGAGATCACGCGCCCGCAGCCACAGCTCCAGGGACGCGGCAAAACGCCGCTCTGGGTCGAGCGAAGACGGAGCGAGCGCGGTGGGGGGCGGCAGACGGCCATTGGCCGACAGCACCGGGATGCAAGAGTACCTTGAGCTCCCGCGGGAGCTTCCGGTGGGAACTTACACGAAGCATCATCTTTTGGGGGTCAACAAGCAAAGATGGATCCCGCCACGGACTTCGCATCGAAGCTTGTCTAGGCAGCTATTCAAAATGTGGGATTCAGTTGCTTGCCTTCAGTTGAAATCTGGCTCGTCAAGACACGCAGTCAGAGCCCCGAACCATCAGGGGTAACTCGGGTCAGGGTTAACTCGGGTTCGTTTTTCGGGAATCCGAACCCGAGTTACCTTGGGCCCGAGCTACCCCGGATAATTCGGGCGTCCAGAGCCCCACATCATCAGGGGTAATTCGGGTCAGGGCTAACTCGGGTTCCCTTTTTTTTTCGGGAATCCAAACCCGAGTTAACCCGTGCCCGAGCTACCCCGCATAACTCGGGCGCCCAAAACAGTGGTTGTCGCACATACCGTGCTGCCAAATGAGGAGTTCGTCCCAAGGTGCTATGCCACGATAGGGAACACGGGCGACATAATGCAACACACGAAGTGACAAAACTTGAGAATGGTATGGCTTCTCTTGTCTTGTGGAGAATGATGATGATATTTTGGTATCGTATGGAACGTTACGTTTGTCGGGCCTGCCACGCTCTCTTTTTGTCAGGCACCGTAGTCTATTCGATGCGAAAAGAAACGACATGCTGGCGGACTCGGTTTACGATTTTGTAGACGGATTGCCAGGTAGGAGAAAAGTCATTGCGAAAGAGGTACATGCAAATATCCACTAGTGTTGCGCTGTTGCTGAAATCGTAGTAGCGCTGGAGGCGTGGGTGGTGATTGTTGTGTTTGTGGTTTTGTATATGATATATGTGTTAATATATTTGTATATATATATATATATGTATAAGCTTGCTGATTAATGATATGCAGAAGACCGAAACACGCCGTCAACACCGATCTGTAGTTTTTCCTGGCTCGAGCCCCCCCCTCCCCGGGGGGCAGGGGGGAAACGGACCAGGGGCCCTTGATGCTGGGCCAGCTTGCCCAGGCCGCCGTGCTGGGGGTGGCCAACCTGGGCGGCGCGTGGCTGGGGAAGTGCCGGCCGCCACCGTGCCCAGCCTCGCCGGCCTGCCCGCCGGCGGGCGCTTGCACGTGCCCGCCAGCGCCGGCGGTCTCGTGCCCGCAGGTGAGCGTCATCTGCCCGGCGGTGCCGGCCGTGGAGGCCCGCGCCTGCCCCGAGGCGCCCGCGGCACCAGCGCGCCCGCCTCCGCCCGCGTGCCCGCCGAGCACGTGCCCGGCGGAGGCCGCCGAGGCGCTGGGCCGGCAGGACTGCTGGCCGGAGACGCGAGTGGCGCTGAGCTTCGCGTGCGGGCTTGGCGGCGTGGCGGTGCTGGTCGGCTTCGTCCTGGGCACGTGCTGCGCGAGGCGCCATGCAGGCGCGGGGCCATCCGCAGGGCACCCTGCATCTGGCCGGTCGCAGCTGTCTGGTGAACTACGGGGCCGCGGAGTGGCACTGGAGAATAGTGCTCGCCGGACTGGTGTCCTCGGACTCCCGGGCCCTCATCCTGACGCCGGATGGTGACATGTACATGGAGGACTTCAATGACGCCGTCGCCGTGCGTTGGTTGGGCCCGAACAACGAGGTGCCAGAGGGCGCGCCGCGGAACCTGATCTATCACTTCGGTCAGTTCCCGTCGGCGGCGACGCTGCGCAGACTGATGCAGGAGGGTGCCTACACCGCTGGGCTAGAGGATCAGCGCCGCGGGTACGGCATCGCCGTGTGGGGAGCTGGAGGTGCCGCTGGCGCCGCGGGCGGCGCTGCCGCTGGGCCGGCCGTGGCCCAGGCGGGTGGGGCTGGCCGCGTGGCGGCAGGAGCGCCCGCCTACGTGCCGGCCCAGCCTCCCGCGCCGGGGGCGCCCGGCGAGGGCGAGGACGACGGGCCGGGCCCGGCGGCGCTCCAGGGCCTCATGGGGGTCGGCCGCGACTTCCGGCCGCCAGCGCGGCCGACGGCGCAGCCGGTGACGGTCCACACTGTGCGCTGGGTGGCGGCCGAGAGCGTTGACTTCCCTGGAGGCAGCGTGGGCCGAGGAGATGACGTGGCGTTCAACGGCTCGGAGATGGTGTCGGGCCGAAAGGGGGTGATCGTGCTGATGGGTGTATCCGTGCTGATGGAGGACATCGGCGACGCGGATGTGGAGGCCTACAGGTCGAAGGAGGCCCGCCACGACGCGAGGTTGCTGAAGTTGCAGAGGGACTCCCGAGGCGACCGACATCGTCCCTGGCGTGACGTGGCCCGTGATGTGAGCGCAGTGAAGCAGACGGACTGGCCCGTGCCTGGCCCGCAGACGGCAGAGTGGTGCACTAAGTTCCTCGACCGACGGAGCGAGGGGCCCGTGGGCTGGGATCGGCGCTGGCGGGCCGACAACAGGCTGTCCATGGACCAGTGGGGGGTGTCCGAGCACGAGACGCTGGCGAAGATCCTCGAGCGCTTGGGGACCCACGACCAGTGCGACGTTGTGAACCTAGCAGCGGCGGAGGACATCGTGCGGCGGATGCAGCTCATCGAGTACTTTTACTACGAGGTCCATCGGCAGTCGGACTCCAGCAAGCAGCAGGACAAGAAGGGCGGCAAGGGTGCGCGCCTTGAGGAGATGGCCGTCTTCTCGGGGAAGCATCGTGAGTATGGCGAGGTGATGGTGGCGCCCGAGCTGCTGACCTACGTCGCCTCCGAGCTGGAGCGGGACTCTGGCATCATGAAGCAGATGAGGAAAGCCCGCGAGGAACGGCGACTCGCGGGCAAGCATGACCAGTGACTGGGGCCGCCGCGGGAGCCCCCGATCCCGCGGCGAGTATGCAGGGGGGCCGCTGGAGATGAGCCCCAGCGCGGCCGATGTACGTGGCTCACATGAGGGCAGGGCTGTCAACCGTGATCTGCTTCCTTTGCCTCACTACCGCCTGCCGAGCACGGGCAGCGACGATGGCGGCCAGCCAAAGTCTCGTCGGGGGCAACGCCGCCGAGGGGAGCGAGCCCATTGCGAAGACTGGGCTCGCTGCTGCGCGATCACGCTGAACGAGCTCGACCGCGGGTCTGCTGATCCGCAACCTCAGGGACAGCGGGCCAGTGCCGGGCAGGAGCGCAGCTTGGGGATGATCCAGGCTGCGGTAGCTGAGCTCGGACGGCCGCCCGCCGACCTGACTCGCCAGGGAGCCCTCGCGGAGCTCCTGGCCAAGCGCAGTTACACCGGCGAGAAGGTGTCTGTCGCTCGGCTCGACATTTCTCTTTTGTCTCTGCCTGCTGGCGGGGACGGTCCTCGAGCGCTGACTACTTTGCTCGGGGACGAGGGTCCAATGGTAGTCGATGCCTTTTTAAAAGACAAAGTTTTGCCTCCATCGGAGGCGGCGGCGCGGATGGCCGAGTCGGCCTTGAAGCGCCCATACTACGATCCTTCGCTGCAGGGGAGGCCGCGCCGGTATGCGCGACTCCTTGCGGCCCTCGACGGCGCAGGCATGCTCGAGTGGAGGCGGCATGGATCGCCCCGGGTAGGCCTGTTTACTGTTTGGAAAAAGAACGGCAAGCAAAGATTGATTGTCGACGCGCGTTTATCCAACTTGTGTTTCGCCTCTCCTGATCCAGTCGACCTGGCCACTGGCGGATCGTTCGCGCCCCTCGAGGTTGACCCGGGGCCCCCAGTGTGCCTCGCCCAGGTCGACATCCAGGATGCCTTTTACCACCTCCTCCTCCCTCCTGAGCTCGCCCCCTTATTCTGTCTCCGCCCTGTCACGGCCGGACTCGCTGGAGTCTCTGAGCTCGACGGCGCCGCTGTCTCTCCGACCCAACTCGTGTACCCACACCTGCGTGTTGTGCCGATGGGTTGGAACCATGCTTTGTGGTGGTGCCAGCGAATTCGCGAATTTCATGCCTTTCGGCAGCCCGGCGTGTCCCTTTCAAACAAGCTCTCGGATAAGAGGCCCGGGGTGCGTCTGGGCCGCTCGGGGTTTGCTCAAACTGAATACGTGGACAACTTCGCGGCCATCGGGCGTCAGGCCAGTGAGGTCGATGCCGTGGCCGATTCCGTTCTAGACGCCCTGACCACCGCGGGGCTCTGCATGCATCCTCGTGAGAGCTCGGTTGGCGGGTCCGTCTTGGGTTGGGAGTTTAGTGACGAGTGCCCTCAGGTTCGTGCGAGCCCTCGCCGAGTGTGGAGGCTCCGCCTCGGCATAGAAGGGCTCCTAGAGAGGGGCTTCGCTACTGGTAGGGACCTCGAGGCCATCATTGGACATTTCACGTTTGCCGCTCGAATTCGGCCTGAGGCCGTGTGCGTGTTCTCCGCTGCGTATGCCTTCAGTCAGCGGGGGGCCGACACTCGCCGTAGGTTGTGGGCTGCCGTGCGGAGGGAGCTTCGTTGGGCAGTAGGTCTCCTCCCCCTCCTCCGTCGTCGCCTCGATGCCGATTGGAGCTCAAAGGTGCGGTGTGCAGACGCCTCCCCTTGGGGTCGGGGGGTTTGCTTGGCTGAACGTGACGCTCAGTCCATCGCGGAGGCTGGCCGGTGGTCGGACCGGTGGCGCTTCTCGCGGGGGGCCGAGGATCGCGTTCGGCCGAGAGACGCCTCGCTCCGGGAGGAGCTGAACTTAGCCGCGGCGGCCGGTCTGGACGACCTGGATCGTGTCGGGACGGCTCGGCACTTGGAAGCCCTCGGCGAGGCGGATCGGAGTGGGGCTGTCCCGGAGATCGGGCCCGAAATCCTTGAGGGATCCTGGACCGCCGTTTCGGCCGGCCGCTGGATGCGGCGGGAGGCGATGCCCATCTTGGAAGGGCGCGCTCTGGTCTGGGGGGTCCGACATGCGAGCCGGGGTTTAAGCGAGTTTGGCAAGCGGATTTTGTTTCTGACCGACGGGATGTCCGAGGTCCTGGCCCTTGAGAAGGGCCGATCGTCGAGCGTGGCCTTAATGAGAGTGTGCAGGCAGTGGGCGGCGACGGTGTTTGCGGCCGATTTGTATCCTCGAGTTCGGTGGATTCGGTCTGAGTTGAATGTGGCCGACGAGCCTTCGCGTCGCTATCAGCCGAAGCCATTTGGGCTCAAACCTGGGCACTTTCGGCTTCCACCAGGTTTGTCCGAGCCGGATGGCGACCGGCCTCCCGCGACCACTCGCAGGTGCTCCGACCCTGCCGTCTTCGGGGGATGTGGTTCTGGCGACCGGCAGCCTGGCGAGGCCAGGCGGGGCTGCGAAGCGGCGACCTGTGCAGGGCGAGCCGCTCACCCTGTCGCGAGCAGCGGCACTGTCCCAGGCTGGTCCGCGGCCGCGGCCGACCCAGAGGCAAGACCGGGCGATGGCGTCGGCGAGACCCGCCAAGCCTCGGCCCGAGGTGCTGGCCACGAGGGGGGAGCGTGCCGCTGTCCGGCAAGCGAAGTTCCCCGAGGACAAGCGCGTGACAGACGGCGAGGGCCTCTCGCTGCTCGAGAGGGAGAGCGTGGGCGACCACAACCAGCGGGTCTACCAGTCGGTGCTCGTGGAGTTCAGGGTGTTCTCCAAGACCCTGGGCCTGCGCCTCAAGGCCGCTCAGGACTACGACGAGGCAGCCGTGGAGTGGGCCCACCGCGCGTTCTTCGACGGCGGCGACGCCCAGGAGGGGACAAGGCTCAAGGCGGTGCTGCTGTACTACTACCCGCGGCTCCTGTCCGTCGCCGGACTGCCCCGGTTCAGCCGAGCGCTGAAGGGGTGGAGGCGACTGGTGCCGCCTCGGAGCCGGCTGCCGCTGCCATGGGAGGTCGCCTGCGCGGTGGCAAACAAGCTCGCGGCGAACCAGGACCTGCACGCTGCCCGCCTCATCATCGTGATGTTCGTGTTCTACCTGCGTCCCGTGGAGCTGATGTCGCTGACCGGGCGGCAAGTGGTGCCGCCGGTGCGGGCGGCAGGCCACGATGCGTGGTCGCTCGTGCTGTTCCCCATGGAGGAGGAGACGCCCAGCAAGACCGGCGCTTTCAACGAGAGCGTGCTGGGCGACCTGCCTTTCTACCGCTTCATCGGCGACGTGCTGAAGCTGCTCGAGGCCGGCGTCGACGACAAGGGTCTCGTGGCCCAGGTGCGGCACGTGCAGCTGGCACAGGCGTTCCGCACGGCGGGCCAGCAGCTGGGCCTCGAGGGCCCACCAGGCCTGTACCAGCTGCGACGCGGCGGAGCGTCCGCCGACCTGGCCAGCGGCCGTCGCGGCATCGCGGAGGTGAAGGCCCGCGGCCGCTGGGCCAGCGACAGCTCGGTGACGAGGTACGGCAAGGGAGGCCGCATCGCCGACCAGCTGGCCAAGCTGCCGCAGCCGTTCCTCGACCACGTCATCGCCTGCGCCAAGAAGATTGGCGACATCCTCTGCGAGCGCTGCCGGCCTTTGCCGCCCGTGCGGGCGGGGCCGTAGCGCTCGAGGTGTTCAGCGGCTCCGGCAATCTCAGCCGAGCCTGGCGACGTCGCCAGCATGTTCTGGGCTATGTCATTTTTGAGTGGGACATCCGCTGGGGAGATGAGTATGACCTCACTCGCCAGCGGGTGCAACGCCTGGTGCGAGGATGGGTCAACAACGGGCTGATTGCTGCCATCTGGCCGGGCACCCCTTGCCACAGCTGGAGCCGTGCACGGGACATCCGACCAGGGCCCCCGCCCTTGCGGAGTGACCTGCACGTGATGGGGTTGCCCGACCTAGCGCCTCGTGACGCTGAAAAGGTCAGGGTCGGCAACGCCCTGATGAAGTTCTCAGCCTCGCTGTTTATGCTGTGCCAAGCTGTGCGCGTGCCGGTAGCAATCGAGAACCCTCACATGTCTAGAATTTGGCTGACGCCCCAATTCATAAGATTGCAAAGAAAATGTCGCTCTGTCGTGTTGGATTTCTGCCAGTTCGGCCAGTCTTGCCGAAAGCGCACTCGCATTATATACGATCACGTAGACCTCCAGCCGTTGCATTGCCTCTGTCAAGGCCCCCGCGGGATCTGTTCCCGCACGGGCCGCCCGCATAATCAGTTGCAAGGAAAAAATGCTGACGGCGTTTTTCGCACGCTCCTGGCCGAGGCTTATCCAGCTAATTTGCGCACTAACATCGTCCGATGCTTCCAGCTCGCGCTTGCCGAAAAGAAGGTTCAGCGAATACAGAGAATGTTCGGAAACCGCCGCAACATGCAAAAGCGACGCTGCCAGACTTGCAGCGATGAAACTTGCATGCATCACAGCGTTCATTTCAGCTCGTACCAATCTTTCGCCTTTTACTAAAGGTTGCCGTGAGAGGGACACATCAATGTGACTTCCATTATTTTGAGGGGGTAAAGAGTTGGTGCCCGCTTAGCTTGATGTTAAGCGTTTCCTCGAGCTCGAGTCTGTGTGATCTGTGATTGCAAAGTCGGAAGACTTGTCGACACCAGAGATAGCATCGCTTCGCACTCCTGGCGGAAAACGGGCTGGGCGTTTCATTTGTATAAGCTTGCTGATTAATGATATGCAGAAGACCGAAACACGCCGTCAACACCGATCTGTAGTTTTTCCTGGCCAACCGTCTGCCCCACCGCCGCCCTCTCCTTTTAAAGTTGCAGAACAACATGGATCAGGTGCCCGCTTAGCTTGATGTTAAACGTTTCCTCGAGCTCGAGTCTGTGTGATCTGTGATTGCAATGTCGGAAGACTTGTCGACACCAGATCGGCAACACCCCAACATACTTATACTATATGTGCGTCGCCCCCCCAGGGGCGACGCGCGCACCGAGAAATCTTATAGTATATGCGTCGTGGCGGGCGCTTTCTGGCCACACCGCTCGGGAAACGATATACTACAAGATGGGTATACTATATGTTCGGGTCGGACGCGCGCCTCCAAGGAGGACATCTAGTACTAGTACGTTTTTGTGCATCCCAACCAGAGATAGCATCGCTTCGCACTCCTGGCGGAAAACGGGCTGGGCGTTTCATATATATATATATATGTATATGTATCCTTGTGGGTCATGTTTTGGTTCACCGATCTTGCCTTGGACATAGACAACGCTCATTGCACAAACTGAAATTGACGAGCAAAAACGCGTGAATCATGCTGTCTTTGCCCCGGTTCGGGATGAAGTGCGGATATGATGAAACACTACGCTGGAGGAGAGAAGGGAACACATTTCATGCCGCTGCAGCATAATTTGCGGAAGTCGAGGCAGCGCTTGTCATATGGTTTAAACAAGCACATTGGCTTGTAGTCGTGTGCATCGCAACGGGCGCTAATGCATGCCACGAAAATGGGTAATTGGCCCAGCAGTCGGTGCCGAATAATGTACGAATGGCAGGACAAGTCAAAGGAGGCTAACAAACATGGATACACAAACGTTGAGATCGAGTGCCTTCTTAGGGCGGCACGCGCTTGGTGCGTCGCAGTCGTGTTGTGCAGACAAAGAGACAGCAACTGTGCAGCCTGGACCCGGCGTCTACCCGCGGCACTGCTCGTCCTCCGTGCTCGGCTTGGCTGCATCCCTCCCTCGCCTCGCGTCCCCCCTCTACCCTCTCCTGTTCGCCTGGCTTGCTCCTCTTCCGTGCTCTTGGCTTCCTTGCGCTTGTCGCGCGGGGCCCGGCCCCAACGTGTTTCATCTTAACCTCCTCCCTCCTCCGTCGCTGGTGCGCGCCTCCTCCTCCTCCTCCTCCTCCTCCTCCTCCCTCCTCCTCCTCCTCCTCCTCTCCTCCTCTCCTCTCCTCCTCCTCCTCCTCCTCCTCCTCCTCCTCCTCCTCCTCCTCCTCCTCCTCTTCCTCTCCTCCTCCTCCTTCCTCTCCCCTCCTACTCCTCCCCCTTTGCGCAGCCGCCCCGCGTTTCGACTGGTGCACTCCGCGGGCGGGAAGCGCGGAAACCCCTCTGGACCATTTGGGGGGCCCTGCTTCCATTCGCGAGGGAGGGCGGGGGGGAAGGGTAGAGTCGAGGGAGTTCACCTCCTCCTCGTCCTCCTCCTCCTCCTCCTCCTCCTCGTCCCCTTCCCCCTCCCCCTCCCCTCCCCTCCCCCTCCCCCTCCCCCTTCCTCCCCCTCCTCTCCTCCTCTCCTCCTCATTCTCCTCCCTCTCCCCTCCCTCCTCCGCCCCTTCCTTCCCCTCCCGCCCCGCCGGAGGACCGCATCAACAGCGAGCGGGAGGCGAGGCAGCGTGCAGAGGCCAGGTCGGCGGGGGGAGGGAAAAGTCCGGGAGTTGCGGTAGCTGTATTGCGAATGTTTTACGGCCAGTGCCGCCGGCTTTTTAGGGGAACGACGACAACGGCGGCGGCGGCGACGACGATGACGTTGACGCGGGTCAGAGTATTTATGGATGTTTCTTGGGATCTCTTCGAACCGGCAGTGGCAGTAGCTATATTTGTTTGTTTTCTGCAGATCTTTTTTTTCCAGCCTTGGCCAGAGTCCCCGCAGGTTCAGGAGTTTTTCCAGAACTGGCGACAACATCCCAACGATGGCTACGTGTCAGCGTCATACGGCAGTCCTACACGTCTATGGATGATGTCGAAGCACAACCCCATTCAATATTGCACGCCACAGTCATGGGAATTCTCTATGCAATTGTTCGCGCTCTCGAATCCCTTCCCAGAACACCTTAGACATAACTCTTCTTTAGCCCCTGAACAAGCCTGAATCTAGTCTCCACGTGCTCTGACCGAAGAGTCGAAGAAGACCGCAGTCTGCCTCCTCCTCATTCCTCTCGCATTCTCCGTCTTCCCCCCGCCTCCCCGCTCAAGCTCCCGCCTCCCTCCTGCTCGCCCCCTTTCTCACCTCCACCTGTCCTCTTCCCACGTCTTCCCCGCTCATCCCTCTCCTCTTTGTTTTCTGACGACGAAACCGTCTGACGCTGCCAGCACCCGCGTCCGGCGCCTGCGCGCGCGATGAGGCTTTGCTGACCAGCGCTCCGAGGCCGGTGGGGACGCCGTTGCGCCTGACCGGGCGGCCTGAAAACGGTATGTTCTGGCTCCTCTTTTTTCATTCTGACTCGTCGTTTCAAGAGAACCACGATGGACGGTTGCTAGTTTTAGGTCGGGCGCGGCCCCCTACAGGGGGATTCTGGACGACAAATAAAAGATACCCCACAATTATTACAAACATGCTCGAAAGTAGTCAACACATCGTCCCCGGATGATTTTTTGTCTATTTGGAATATTCCCCTGTAGAGGGGCAGGCCCGACTGAAAACCACGATGGAAGGTTGCTAGTTTGTTCTTGTCCCTTTGTGTGCTGGGCCCTGGTTCTTCGCTCGGTCGTGGTCGCTTGTTCGTTTCTTATGGCCCCCTGTCGGGTGGGTATAGCCAGGACCCCATGTAAGTCACCACCAACCAAACCACCCCAACCCAACCCGAAGGCCCAAATTTATCCTCGATTTCCGTTGGGGGGGGTCGGGGAACATGGATTCGACAGGCGGACGCGCCTGATTTCTTCAAATTCATTCCTGTGAGAACAAGCATTGTAGCCCCCCTCAGCGCGAGTTGAGTGAAGAAAACCGGGAGCACTTCTCAAGATGACTCGACCAATACGAATAATTTCGCGATTCTAGATCGGGCAGCAGACCGAGTTCAGAGCTCTGGATTCGACAGACAAACGCAACTGATGATCCTGAATTGGTTTATGTAAATATCAGCTCTGTAGCTGTCCTACAGCTCGAGTTAAGTACAGAATACCGATAGTTGCTGTCAAGATGACTCGAATAATATGAATAGATTTGCGGACCTAGCTCGGCTAACAGAAAGAGTTCAGACAACTGGAGTCAACAGGCGAACGCGCCTAATCATTTTACATCGATTAGCTGTGCTTATCAGCTCTGTAGCTGTATTCACCCGATCGAGCTGAGATCAAGATGGCGAGCGGGAATAAGATCGAATATCACGGGAAAAAATACTAGAGCTCTAACGAATGTTCAAATTTCGAGAACAAAATTTTCAACCGACCAAAAGTCACCAAAAGTTCCGTCGAGATTTCTCTTGCCAACTAGCTCTCCAGCGCCCCGGAATTACTCTTAAGCTTCCAGCAACAACTTGCAAAGGGAAGCTCTACGAGTTACCAACGTCCGGCTTCTAATCGTAAACCCTCTAGCTCTCAGAGGGCTCTCCAGGAAATTGGTAGCGTCCAAAACCCGGAGAGCGAGGAGACCCGTCGGGACGGGAAATCTTTACTAGAGGGCTCCTTGGGTGCTCGGAAGCGTGGCAGGGGCGACGCTTTCTGAGTCCCCTGGGGAAGCCAGCGGAGCTGCGCCCCATTCGGATTGGTTTTAGACCTCGCTTCCCCTTGGGTGCTCGGAAGCGCGGCAGGGGCGACGCTTTCTGAGTCCCCTGGGGAAGCCAGCGGAGCTGCGCCCCATTCGGATTGGTTGTAAAACTCGCTTTCTCTACCGTGCAGCGCTGGGGTATCTGGGGGCGTCCGCACTGCCCCCCCCCCCCCCCCCAGGGTAGAAGAGGAGGAGGAGGAAGGGGGGGGAGGAGGAGGATGAGGAGGAGGAGGTACAGGGAAGAAAGGACAGAGGAGGAGAAGGAGGAACAGGAGGGGAAAATGAGGACGAGGATGAGGATGAGGATGAGGAGGAGGAGGAGGAGGAGGAGGAGGACAGAGGAGGAGGACAGAGGAGGAGGACAGAGGAGGAGGACAGAGGAGGAGGAGGAGGAGGAGGAGGAGGAGGAGGAGGGCAGAGGAGGAGATGGAGGAGAAGAAGAACGGAGTCAGGACATATAAGAGTGGAGAGAGGAGAAAGAAGATGAGAGGGGAGGCGAGCGAGGTTTATCTTAGCTTAGCTTACCTTCATCTTAGCTTCGCTGAGCTTCAGCATGGGTGTAATTCCCTACCTAAGCTCTTCCTAGAGGGCTAGCTTAGCTTAGCTTAGCATAGCGCAGCGCTGCATTAGCATATCATAGCATAACATAACCAATCATAGCATAGCCTAGCATATCATATCGCAGCATATCATATCATAGCATACCATATCATATCATACCATAGCTTAGCATATCATATCATCGCATCGCTTAGCGTAGCACAGCGCAGCATGACACAACATACCTTATCATACAAAATCCTAGCATAACACAGCGCAGTATATCATATCATATCATCGCATATCGTATCGCAGTATAGCATGGCACAGCATAGCTCAGCATAGCATAACATAGTATAGCAACTAATGCTGCTTTCCTAGGGGATCCAACTTCTACGTAGGGTCGCACTGGGGTAATACGATTTGCCAGTTTGGCTAAATCTTTGCTGGGAAGTTTGTAGTTTTACACATATATGTGATTATAGAAAATATAATCAGACTGTCCTGGAGGATCCAGGAAATCCTGCAGCCCTTTGTTGCTCGAGAAAAAGAGCGACCCTCACCTCCCCCCTTTCTCCGCGAAGGGGGTGGGTGCGCGTGCATGGTAGCGGAGCTCGCTTGAGGTTCGCGGGCCGCTCCGCACCCAGGCGAGCTCCAGGAGCCCCTCGAGAGGGCCCAGCGGCGCGACGCCGCGGGTCCAGCGGCCAGCGGGACGATCCACGCGGCCGCCGAACGAAGGACCCCTTGCGGGTCAGAGCTGCGGTCAGACCCGCGCTCTGGCAGCGGAGGCCAGCCAGCCAGCAAGGGCAAGGGCAAGGCCACGCTGAAGGCCAAGAAGCCGAATAAGCGAGGAGGCAGAGCGGCGGACACGCGTCAGCACCGCCAGCTCCGAGGGAGCGCCTTTAGGAAGCTTGCGGCGTGCGGCAGCGCGGCGAAGCTCACTCAGGAGGAGCGAGCAGCGGTGAAGAGGCAGCTGGCGAGCGACATCGAGAGGCTAGAGAAGCGTGTCATTGACGTGCTCGACGACCAAGATGGAGCAGCAGCTGCAGCAACTGGTCGATCAAGTTCAGAGGCTGACGACGGAGAGTCAGAACATGAGGCAGGAGCTTCAGAACAGGGACGTGGCGATCGCAGAGATGAGAGGACAGCTTCAAGGTCAGCAGCAGGCTCAGCAGCAGGCTCAGCAGCAGCGGGTAGCCCCGCGCGGCGAGATGATGGATCCGAAGATCCTTCACAAGGTGAAGCCGTTCGACGGCCAAAGGTCGAGCTGGAAGACGTTCAGCTTCCAGTACAGAGCGTACCTGATCGCCCAGGATCGGAGGTACCGAGATCTTCTGGAAATGTGCGAGGACGGAGCCCAGGAGGTGGACAACGTCAACCTGGACCCGCAGGAGGAAGAACTCAGCACGCAGTTGTACTACGGCCTGGTCCTGGCCATGCCCGAGGACTCGGTGGGCGAGCTGATCGTGAGGAACAGCCCAGTAGGAGAAGGAGCCGAGTGCTGGAGGAAGCTTCAGAAGGAGTACAACCCGAGCGAGGCAGGCAACGTGCTGGCGATGTGGAGCAAGCTCACGGACACGAAGTTCGATGCCAAGGAAGACGTGATGGTGAGCATCAGCAAGCTGGACGAGGACATGGCGAGGTACCAGAAGATGGCAGGAGAGCCCGTCTCGGACCTGATCAAGCGCGGCATCCTCACAAAGGCGCTGAAGGATCACGACGAGCTGCAGAAGCACGTGTTTCGGAACAGCAGTCGGTTAAGTACGTACGAGCTTCTGAGATCCGAGGTAGTGTCGGCGTTGATGGCAGAGCGAGCGGTTCAGGACGACCCGATGGAGATCGGAGCGCTGAAGGGCGGAAAGAGACCGTGGAAAGGCCGCGGCAAAGGGAAAGACGGCAAAGGCAAGGAGAAGCCAACGAATCCCGACGCCGAGATAGAGTGCAACTACTGCCACAAGAAGGGCCACCGCAGCGCAAACTGCCGAAAGCGGATCGCCGACGAGAAGAAGACAGCCGAGAAGGACAAGAAGGACAAGAAGCAGTTCCGAAAAGAGAAGGCAAAAGAAAAGAAGAAGATCGGGGCAGCGGCAGTCAGGGAGCTCGAAAGGTTACGACAGACAGGAGTGGGCACAGGATCAAGCTCGGCAGCACCGACACAACAGATGCTAGGAAGTCAGGGAAGCGCCGACAGCGCGATGACTCAGCAGGTGCTGCGCCCAGTCAACTGTGCGCTACAAGCGAAGATGATTCTGGCCCTGAGGGCAGAGGTCACAAGAAGCGCAACCACACGATCGACTGGAAGTACTGCTTGCCTGGCTACTACCAATATGACTGCTGCTCTTGCAAGAAGACCTTTGAAGGATGGCGATGGCACTACGATCAGTGGCAGCTGGACTACTGTGCCGTGTGTGCCGAGTACTGCCTGGACAGCTTCAAGGACGGGGAAGAGCCAGACGACAACAAGAAGCCAAAGCCAAAGAAGCGCAAGAAAGGCTAGATTCGTCGCTGACGGCTGTAAGTACTGCGATATGCCAGCTGCGGTGAGCCCCGCGCTGGCCGGCCCCAGGCCTGTTACCATCGCTGGTCTTCGGCCCGTGGATGAAGATCAGAGCCCTGCGGATGACCGATTGCGGTTAGCCCCGCTTCGGAATGCGATCATGCTAGATTCAGGTGCGCAGATCAGTGCGATACCGAGGTCACAGGTGACCAAGCACAACTACACGCCGACGGACAGCAACGTTGTCGGCTTGAAGGGCATAGGAGGCGAGGAGATCGAGAGGTACGGCCACGTGGAGCTGAACCTATCCCGAGGAGGAGAGGTTATTCAAGTCGGTGCTGAGGTTGCCGATGTGGAGTACCCAGTTGTGGCTACAGACGCTGTAGTACAACGTGGTCAGAGTGTTCTTCATAGCCCTGCAGGTCACTGGATCATCAACGGTACCATCGAGCCACCTGACGGAGCTGAGTTCGTACCTCTACGTCGTCACCAAGGCAACTACTACTTAGAGTACGATCACATCATCGACGGCCAGACTCAACCAGAAGCTTCAAAGGTAGCTGCGGTACGAAAGACACTACCAAGGAAGGTACCAGCTGAACAGGAAGCTGGATCTTTGCCG